ATTAATAATTTCTCGTTTGAACTTTTCGAATAATGCCGGGGAGAATCGACATAGAGCCAAACCACGGTAACGTGGATCTAAAAAGTTGGCTTCAGCAAAAGCTTTCTCATTGCAGCCATGATTTTTAAACTTTTCTTCAAGCTTGGACAAAACACCTGCACAGTAGTTCTTCACATCTTCTGTGATTTCTTCTGTCATGCTGTCAGAGAAGATTTTGTGCAAGTTGAACACTTCGGGAATGACTTCATGAATTGATGGCTTGTCTTCAACAGACCTGTTGTTGATTGCGTCACTAAGACGTTTCATCAAGGGCAAAACTTTCTGCCAGATTTCAAAAATTACATTAAGTACTTACTCCGAGAAGATTTTTTTAAGTTTTCAGCAGTCTGTGGGACATCAGTTGGCTCACAACACCACAAAAATCTCCGTGTTTATAGTTATTAATGATGTAATAGGCTGTGATGGAATTATACTTGTCGCATGCTAGAGAGGACCATCCATCAGGGGTGAAACCAATGCGCATAACCATTTTGATCTCAGAAAAGACGATCTTTCACAGCTTTTTTGACAGCCTCACGTACAATGGGAAGTTTATTCTGAGCGTAGGTCCTTGCAGAGCGAAGTGTGTACTAAAAGTAATTTAAAATATTTTGAATTACAATAACACCTTGCATTTGAAGCTTACTTTACTCGAGTAGTTGTTAGCATAAATATTGGAATAGAACTCTAATATACCTGTGGACAAATTGCTTGAAACATTTGTTGAATCGATGGGAGTTCCATAAAGTGAAATGAAACATTTGAGTTTGCAAGGCCTAGACACACTTCATAGTCAAATCTTAATTGTATAGGATCTTGCGACTTTAGCTTTAGAAAATGTGTTTGGTTTTTGAATTTCCCGCGCAGTTGAAAGCAACTACCAGCTCCAGTTCCTAGAAATATTTTTAATTGCTTTTATCATAAGAGCTTCAACTCCTAAAAGCAGTTTTGCAAGTTTTCAGAATCATTAAGTATTAAAAAATGATTACCTCCTATTGATGTCAAAAACTCAAGTTTTTCCCCAGAAATGGCTTGTTTAGACTTCATTTCTTCCTCCTGCCACAAAACTTCATTATACACAGTTTTGTGTTTGCGCTTGAGGTGTGACTTCATGCCAGTTGCAGAGGCATTTGGTCTAGCAATTCTGTTAGAGACGACATCTAGACATAACTTGCATTTGACTTGTAGAACATTTTTTGAAGTCGGTTCAAGATCTTTAAAGTTATTCCACCAGAGTTTTTGCCTTTTGCGGCCTGGTTGGAGTTTAGTTTCTGCAAATTTAAAGGAAATAATTTACAAGCTCAAAAAGTGACAATACCAACTTTATAGCAAGTATTACTTAGTCTACTTTAGGATCCCCATTTTACAATCTTATAATATAACTTAAAGATGAACAAAAAAATTTTAATTATTGCTTGAAGCTTATTTAAAATAATTACTCTGGGTTATAAATCATATTTATTCAAAAAAAAAAAAAAAAAAAGAGAAAAAAATAAACAAAAAAACTATACCTGCCATTTTGTGGTTCAACCTTTGATCGTAAGGCAAAAAATAAGTCTGATACTAGATGCAAAATCTAAGAGTGAAAATAAATGTAAATTGTAAACATTTTTTTGTTGGTTTTTTACATTTTTATGTTTACAAACTTAGAGTGTGTAGTTGCAAAAAATGTGTGACACTACTTTTTTGAGAAAAAAATTGAGCCAAACAATTTTTGTGAAAAAACCACAAACTTTAAGTACTCTCTTAAAATTTGTGCTTTTGAAATTTAAGACTTCAGGCTTAATACTGTGAAGAAACATTTCCTTCACAAATTAATCACTTCATTTTTATTATTTATTTTACCTTTCTCAGGACGCATTTTATGTTGAATCGCCGTTAACTTTGATTTTCAATATTTAAAGTTACCAATCGATCATTAAATATTAGCTGTACTCTATTTCAAGGGTACAAGGGTATATAGTCGGCAACTGGACTATTAAAACATTTATTAAATTTTGACACTAAAATAATTTTTTTATTACAATAACAATATATTGTTATTGTATTGCAAAGACGAATTATAATACAACATTTATTGTTATTGTAGTGGGTCATTACAATACATTTTTTTTTCAGATATTGTTATTATTTTATAAAGATGAATTGCAATGCAATATTTATTGTTATTGTATTACAGAATTACAATAGTTGTAAATCACAAGTATTGTTATTAATTCTAAATTAAGTTAATACAATAACAATAATTATTGTTACTGTTATTGTTTTAATAACAATTACAATAGTCTTAACCCTACTGCTGAGTAAGGTGAGCATGATGACGTCATACTGAAATAGCCTGCTTCCGGGGGCTTCAGTACATACATCGACTGACAATTAGCCTGAATCGCAGTGGAGTGCTGCTACATCGACTGAGGATTTGGTATGGGTCAGCAACCTTTTCATTTATTATTCGCCGTTTTTCCTTATCGTTTTCTCACGATGCTCACTTAATTTAGACTAGCAAAAAAAGTGAGCAATTGCGATATAAATATGCTATAGTAGATATATAAAGATACTGTAGTAAATATTAAATAAGTGAGTAAAAATATAAATAATAAAAATAAATAATCAATGTATTGAGTCAAGTATAAGTGAATAATGTACTAAGTCAAGTATAAGCCCAACAAGTACTGTTGTACTTATACTTGACTTAGTACATTATTCAATTGCTTTTATTCTACAATACTATTTTATAATATTGTAGCCATTTTTCAAAAAGTCTCAAGGTAAAAAAATCAAATTTGACTTCTATACAAAATAAGCTAATTTACATGCTTACAAACGTTATTGAATAAATATTTTCAAAGAGTTGTGAAAAAATAAAATTATTTAGTTTAAAAAATTGTTTGACAAAGAGGTTCCTCTAATAATTTTTTTTAAATATGTTTTTTCTGATTTATGTCAACCAATGTAATATGTCATTTTTAAGTGAGTACAATAATTTTATTGTTCTACTTATGTTTAATATTTAATAGTTATAAACACCGATACTCGATTTCTTGTATTGATTGATTGCTTTTATTGTAATTTTAATTTTTATGTAGCTGCAGTTTCTGCTACAACAAGAAAGATGTTTTACTCACTTATACTTGACTCAATACATTGATTATTTATTTTTATTATTTATATTTTTTTAGTATTAGATTTTTTATAAGTAGTATCTTCCTTAAAAATAATTATGTATAAATATATATATATATATATATATATATATATATATATATATATATATATATATACTATATATATATATATATATATATATATATATATATATATATATATATATATATATATATATATATATATATATATATATATATATATATATATATGTATATATATATATATATATATTTATACATAATTATTTTTAAGGAAGATACTACTTATAAAAAATCTAATACTAAAAAAATATAAATAATAAAAATAAATAATCAATGTATTGAGTCAAGTATAAGTGAGTAAAACATCTTTCTTGTTGTAGCAGAAACTGCAGCTACATAAAAATTAAAATTACAATAAAAGCAATCAATCAATACAAGAAATCGAGTATCGGTGTTTATAACTATTAAATATTAAACATAAGTAGAACAATAAAATTATTGTACTCACTTAAAAATGACATATTACATTGGTTGACATAAATCAGAAAAAACATATTTAAAAAAAATTATTAGAGGAACCTCTTTGTCAAACAATTTTTTAAACTAAATAATTTTATTTTTTCACAACTCTTTGAAAATATTTATTCAATAACGTTTGTAAGCATGTAAATTAGCTTATTTTGTATAGAAGTCAAATTTGATTTTTTTACCTTGAGACTTTTTGAAAAATGGCTACAATATTATAAAATAGTATTGTAGAATAAAAGCAATTGAATAATGTACTAAGTCAAGTATAAGTACAACAGTACTTGTTGGGCTAGAAGAAGCAGCTAGAGCTGTATATATATATATATATATATATATATATATATATATATATATATATATATATATATATATATATATATATATATATATATATATATATATATATATATTATATATATATATATATATATATATATATGTATATATATATATATTATATATATATATATATATATATATATATATATATATATATATATATATATATATATATATATATATATATATATATATATATATATATATACTTCTCTCTATATATATTTATATATACATCTCTCTCTCTCTCTCTCTCTCTCTCTTTGAACTATTAGTAAAGGATTTATGAATTTAATACTTGAATTTAATATTTGTTATGGTGTTCTTGAGCTTTCAAACAATTAGCTAAGCGGGTAGGCATAGAATGAATGAGTTTTCTCAAATATTTAGGAGTCATAAGTTGAGTCCATACCTGCTTAATTTTTTCTTAAAGATCATCGGAACATGATGGTCGCAGTTTCTGGACTTCGTTTTTGAGTTCCAGCAGTTTTCAATGGGATTGAGGTCCGGTGAATTTGCAAGCCAGGGGCCAATTACCTCGACCCCATTCTCACGTAACCAACTGCTTACATGCTTGGCCCTGTGACAGGGTGCTCCATCATGCTGAAACTTGTGGGTATTCGTGATGTTTATGAATAATATAAGTTTTTCTTAAAGTATATCAATACAAACATGGCTATTTGTTGTGGTGATAGAAGGCATAAACTATAAACTGCCTCTTTGATTTGCTGTAATGGCACCCCATATCTTGATTTTAGGGCAATATTTTACAGTCGAAAGCACATATTTGGGGTTGTATCGCTGACAAGGTGAGCGTCTAACACTTGTAGTACGACCACCAAATTGTTCCATTAGTGATTTGTCGCTAAATATCACATTCTCCCAATCTTCCGCTGACCAGTCTTTGTATTTCTGACAGAAGTCTATACGGTCTCTAATATTTTTTTAAGAAAGACAACGTTTTTTTGCTGAAACATGGCTTTTTAAATGAAATTGTTTGTACAAACGTCTTCTAATGGTTACAACACTTGGTGCAACACCTGTGGGGAATATCTCAGATGAAATTTCAGAAGCACTGGCAAACGGATATGCTTTTGCATAACGATGCATACGATTATCTGCCTTTTGAGTAGTTACCTTTGGTCGTCCAGTTCTAGCTTTGCTTTTAAAATCCCCTGTTTCATGATATCTCTTTAATGTTTTTATAATACAGCTATGTGTTACATTAAAACATGCAGCAATAGAAGTCAGTGTCAATCCTTGTTTACGTAGAATAGCAATCTGAGCACGTTTTTCTGTTATTAATTCATTAGTTCGTCTCATAATTATTATTTTATTTTTTGCTAAAATAACAATAAACTATGACTAAAACAAATTTAAATGTTTATAACATAAATTATGTATGCATATAATATTATTACTCAAAATTTTCAATTAAAAAAAAACATATTTAAACACATTTTTCAAATTTTATGAAAATTCTTTAAATGTTCCAAACTTTTGATCGTGACTGTATATATATATATATATATATATATATATATATATATATATATATATATATATATATATATATATATATATATATATATATATATATATATATATATATATATATATATATATAAATATATATATATATATATATATATATATTTATATATAGATATATATAGAAGTATATATGTATATATGTATAGGTATATACATATATATCTATATCTATTTATAGATATAGATATATATGTATAGGTATATACAACATAGCCACTTACACATAACGCGCATTATAGAAACAAAATAACCACTTACACATAACATGGAAACACATAACACACATTGTAAACTCTGATGAAGTGATGCAGCATCAGGCATATCTATGATGACTTAATTTGGGACACACAGTGATCCTGGTTAGCTTTGAAAATGCATCAAATCAACTTTGAAAAATGTTTGTAAAACTTTCATTGATTACATTTGCTGGTAGCCCATTTCAGTTGTTAACAACTCGATTAGTAAAATAATTATCTCGCTCTTGGCATTATTTCACAATATGCCGTGATAGTCGCTGATTATTTCCACGCAAATTATAATCTGATAGCGATTGAGCATATACTTGAGGAACTACAAAGTCTATTTTTTCTATTTGATTAGTCATTTTATACTGTTGAATGAAATATCGCCTTTTTCGTAACTCTTCGGAGAGTGGTAAGATTGAGTATGGCCAGTCTTTCCTCACCTTTGTTACTCGCTGCTGAATGCATTCAATTGCTTTTATGTCACTTTTTAGTTAATATAAAGCACTTGATGACAGGATTGGATTAAATACTCGAGATGAGGTCTCTTGTATGTTGGGTAGACTACCCTCCATAACATTAGCCCTCTTGTGCTAAAGATTTTTTCAGTTTGCCAAGTACTTGGTTTGCTCTAGCTGCTGCAGCTTTTACTTGATGCTTAACTTTGAGCTCGTCTGATGTTAGAACACCTAAGTCACATTCAATAAATGTTGTTCCAAGTTCTATTTGATTACCATATATGTCAAGCATTGAGTAAAGGCATACTGTGCCTCTAGTAGGTTGGTTTTACAACCGCGTCTTAAAAAAAATCCATGTTGAGATTTTGTAAAGAACCTTTTTTCAAGACAATGTTTCAGGATTCTTTTGTGTATATAACTTTCCATTATTTTACAGGGTACCGATGTGAGAGAAACTGGTCTGTAGTTCAAGCATTTTCTACGGCTTTCATTTTTAAAAATAAGAGTAACGTTTGATAACTTCAAAAAGTCAGGGACTTTGTCTTCAACCAGGGATTTTTTAAAAATCACAGCTCGTGACTTAGCTATTGCAGTAGCGCAGTATCGAAGAACACGCAGATGTATGTTATCGCCGCCTTTCGACTTTGTTTCGATGAGCTTTCTAGCTTTTTCTGAACAGATATAGTTGTTAGTTATGCTTCATTCAGGACACATTTTGTTTCTGTTCGGTTCTGAAATGTTGGCATCTGATGTAATGGTTCAACAACAAAGACAAGATTTCCATTGTTGTCTTCTAGTGACTTCACCATTTCATTCGCTATTTGCTTCTGCTTGACTTGGTTATATAGCCGTTGTTGATCAATTTTAAAAGACTTTGCAATTTCATTTTCATACTTAGCAACTGCTGATCTTACATACTTAACTAATTCTTTGCATACTGCCTTACGCTCTTCTCGAATATCTATGTAAGTCAATTTACCAGCTGCAGGTATTTTTGTCAAAGGATTCTTTTCTTTTTAACTGCTTTTTCAACTTCTGGCGTATCCTATGGTTGTTTTTGTTGCTTGAACGATGTTTTATTTGAAGGTTGGTAAAGGGTGACTGCCTTGTTAAATTTTTCAACGAACATCTGAAAGTTTTCATTTACTGAATGGGAATTGAAAATTGTCACCCAGTCATATGATGTCATTAGCGTTGAGATTGCTTCATAATTAGCCTTGCCCCAGATAAATCTTTTTTGTTCTTTTTTAACACCAGCGTTGCTTGTAGCAAATGAACCAATAAGTAGACAGTAGGCTTCCCCAGCTGGTGTGTAACCAAGTGAGTGGCCTTCATGTAGATTATCTGTGCGGTCAGGTTCATCAGTGATTAACAAATCTAGTGTGCTTGATGGCCTCTCTTTTCTGTTTCTGCGGTGAGTATGGAAAGTGACCATTTGCATAACAAAGTTTTCGTTTTTGTTATGGAGTTGGTAACCGGGCAGTTGAGTGTCTGATATTTGATCAAACCAGGTCTCAGTGAAGAAAAGCAATTTAGGTTTCTTTTCTACTATCTCATTATTAATTCTTGCAATTAGTTCATCTTTTTTGGCTTCATTTAGTGAACGAGGATTATTTGCCCAGAAAATTAGTTGTTTATGCAGATTGTTATATATTTTTTTAATTTTGTTTGATTTCTGAAGATTTAGTTGCTTTAAGAGTGGCTATATATATATATATACATATATATATATATATATATATATATATATATATATATATATATATATATATATATATATATATATATATATATATATATATATATATATATATATATATATATATATATATATATATATATATACATATATATATATATATATATATATATATATATATATATATATATATATATATATATATATATATATATACATATATATATATATATATATATATATATACATAAATATTGCAAGTCAAAAAAAAGTTATAAAACCAATAAACTTTACAAACCATACTAGTAGCAGGTATAGGATAAAAGATATAAAATAGGATATAGTAGATGTAATCTAGCAGTTTAAAATTTTAGGTATATAAAAAATTTTATTAAAATTTAAGTTTTAGAAACAGTGCAACATTGCTCTATCTTGATCAACATTTAAACTGTGTTTATCCATTTGTTTTTTTTTTACTAAATTTTAGTAGAGAAAGCAAATGGATAAACACAGTTTAACTTAAACTCTGTTATTTTTAATTTCTAAGGTTGCTAAACTTATTTTAAATTTTCTGTATAAAGCATTGAATTTATTTTTATATGTTAAACTAAACGGTTAATTAAACAACCGTCTCTATAATTAAAACTATGTAACTTATACATATATTTGTATAATATTCTATTTTTAACGTGACATGTAGTAACTTACTATTTAAATTTATATCAGCTACAAATTTAAAAATGTTAATATTTCTTATGATAGGTATTATTATTTAAGTTAGTTGCAGCTGTGTTTGCATAGAGCTAATTTATGTGCTTTTATAATTTGCAATTTTAGACACATGCAATATCGCACTGTGTTTCATCAGTTGTAAAATAAATCAGTTTTAAAATGTTTACTTTCATTTTTTTATGGGTGTTTATTTAGGCTAGTTACAGCAAAGTTTATATATGGATTGTTTTTATTTGTATATTTAAGTTTGTATATGCTTTTATAATTTTTTATTTTAGACGCGTGTTATGCTATATCACACTGTAAGTTCAAATTTGTTGTAAAACTATTATTATTTTTACTTGCAATTTTTTTATGTTAATTGCAACTAAGTTTATATTTTGCTTGTTTATTGTTTTTTATAACTTGCTACTTTAGACATGTGTCATTCAGGCATGAGGTATCAAATTTAAATGTTTACTTGCATTTATTTTAATGAGTATATTTATTTATGCTAATTGCAGCTAATTTTATGTTTAACTTGTTCATACGCTTTTTTAATTGACTATTTTAGGCACGTGGCATTCAACATCACACTGTAAGTTTCTTCAGTTGTAAAATAAATCAGTTGTAAAATATTTACTAGCATTATTTGTATGCGTGTTTATTTAGGCTAGTTACAGAAAAGTTTGTATATAGATTGTTATTATTTGTATATTTAAGTTTGATAATTTGCTATTTTAGACACGTGTCATGCTGTATCACACTTTAAGTTTAAGTTATTTGTAAAACTATTTAATATTTTTTACTTGAATTTTTACAATATCACACTGTAAGTTTCATCAGTTGTAAAATTTTTACATGCATTTTTTTTAATGGGTATTTATTTAGACTTGCTACAGCAAAGTTTATACATGGATTCTTATAATTTGTATATTTAAGTTTGTATATGCTTTTATAATTTGCCTTTTTAGACACGTGTCGTGCTAAATCATACTGTAAGTTTAAATATGTTGTAAAACTATTTTTTTTTTTTTTTTACTTGCAATTTTTTTATGCTAGTTACAATTAAGTTTATATATTGCTTGTTTATATTTGTATACAACTTGCTACTTTAGACATGTGATATTCATATATAAGGTATCCAATTTAAATTCTAATATTATTACTAATAACGTGTTTATTATTATTAAATAATAGTATTAGTGGCTTTTTTTTTAATTTTAATTTATATATTAATACTTTTTACATGTTTATTATTATTAAGTAAAAAGGTGAGAGACTTTTTCTTTTATTCTTGATGTGAGTAAGATTTTTTACAACTATTGATGTGGCAAAATTTTTAGAACCTTTCACTTAGCAAGTAAGGTTATCTTTTGTAGCGCCTTTAATTTTTGTTAAATACATTGAAATGTAGAACTAATAAAATAACATATTTCTTATTAGCAATTTAGAAATAAAAAACTACCAACAAATGTTTCTTACATGGTTATTAGTAAAAATTTGTCCATTTTGTATTATGGTATATCATTAATAATCAATTTTTTCATTATTTTATTTAAGGTTTGTTTATCTCTAAATAATCAACAACAGGTAGCTGGAATTGAAATGTGCACACAATTGAATTTACAACAGTATTAAAAATTGAAACCTAGTAAAGTAACAAATGTATACAAGTCTGTGTTTTTTATTTAAACGTTTTTTGATCTCAAATAAAATATATATTAAGAAACTTTTTATATTTTTATTGTGTACTTATCCATAAAAAAGTAACTTTATACGTTTTTGTTTAGAAAATGTGAATTTTAAGATATACACACTTATTGATTAATAAAATATACAATATTAGTCGCAAAATAATTTTCACAACGAAGTACTCCACACTGTTAAAAATTTCCGTTAAAAGAACGGAAATTTATTCCGTTATTTTAACGGAAAGTATCCGTATGTCCGTTTATGGATGTATTATATGGAAATTTTACGTCTTTGTAGCTAAATTTTCAGATACTGATGTTTTCGTTGTATTCATAACTGAAAATAGATATAACATTTTGAACTGTTATTAGTGAAAATTTTTAAAAATTATTTTTATGTACACATTTATCTACTAAAAGAAGTTCTGAAGTTTCACTTGCAAGGCGAAGAAAGTTCACCAGGTATTTTACTATAAACTGTTCTGTTCTTTTTAACTTAAAAATTACATGAGCTTTATTTGGTCTATGAATTGCTCAGAACGAGATTAATTGCTCTGTTCCTTTAAGAACATTGAGCACTCTATTTTGTAGAATAGATTTTCAAAATTGTTTAAATATATATATATATATATATATATATATATATATATATATATATATATATATATATATATATATATATATATATATATATATATATATATATATATATATATATATATATATATATATATATATATATATATATATATATATATATATATATATATATATATATATATATATATATATATATATATATATATATACACATACCAGGGGCTATTCTAGACTGTTTTTGACAGTGCTGACCGCAATAAGACGTTTTTTTTTTTTTTTTTTTTACAAGAAACTGTTATTTCTTAGAAAATATTGTGTGTTGTTTGGCAAATTTAGCTTATTTTCAGGAAAATAATCTTACTGATGAAGCCAGTAAAAAAATTTTTTAGTCTGTGAAGCTATCCTCAGAAAGTGGACTATCGTGTTCTGCACCCTGGCACTTCAACGTGTCATAAAACCACATACAGTTCAGTGGAACATATTTGGCTGCAAGTTCTTTTACTTGTAAATACTTCGGACGCTTTACTGGTATTGGACCAGAATACAGTTGAATGTCATTATTTGGTAAAGTTAGACAGACTCCACATTTTTGAAGAACAAAATCTTCTTTCAAAAAACCACTTGCCAAATTGCTACATAGTACATTAATTTGTGAGTAATCCATCACACGGTAAGATAGAATTAAAAAATTTTTTTTCCGCTTGTTTAAGACCTTTCTTTTGAACAAACTAGAGAAATGGCGGTTACTGGTGCAACAGTAAATTTTTGACAAGTATTTTTTACTAAAGCAACCCACTCTTCTGGCTGTGTCCTGGTTCGGGATATCAATGAATTATATTAACAAATTTTTTAGTATGAGCTAAAGTATATAGATAATGAGCAAGTGTATGATTTTTATTTTGTGAACTACAGTTGTCAGAATACAAGTAGAGCTTTTTGACTGAAGCAGCAAGGAAATTTTGAATAAAAAATGCAGACAGCATACAACATCATTTTGCCCTTTTTTGCCAACTATTTCATCATATATAAAGAAATAAGAGTTTTCAGAACTGGCTGCGTATATACAAGACTTATATTCCCAAAGCTGGCGTTTGAAAAAAACATCACCATTTACCAAGTGAGGCAGGGGCATGTTTTGCTGATAGTCAAATGTTAATAGCTCTACTTCTTTATTACTTGTGTTTACTTCAGCAATATCAACTTTCATTTGTGTGTAGAAGTAGCTGGCTTTTTTTTCATGCACTTCTTTTTCAGTACAAAAAACCTTTTTAACCTCAATGACTTCTTCTGCTACAATAAGTTTGTCCAATCGCTCACATGTCTGGAAGGTATCAGATTGAGGCTTACCAAATGAATAGTTAAACTGAGTTAAGAAGTGACGATAAAAATAATCATACGTAACTATTGGCTTAATAAAATCTTGTTTATTTTCAAAACTGTTACAAACAGCAGACTCATATTTTTGCAGATACAGTTTGTGCATTTTTACAATATTTAAATCAGGAGACAAATACCATTTATGTTGGTTGTTAGTTCTGCTGTAATGAGATGTTCGCTTTGGAAAAGAGTTGATGTGATCATCTATTTGGTATACAATGTCTTCAGGTATCATGTTGGGACGGTTTCTGTGTTTTCCACGGTTATCTCTTGGAGCAGGAATAATTTCTTGCAAATTTTTAACAATACGTTCAGCCCTTTTTCCACTCACTCCATATATTGCAGAAAAGGCTATTTTACATACCTTCTTTTTTTCTTTTCCCATTTTTATTGTATATACACAAGAACATGAACGTTTTGGTGTGTTACCAGAGTTAGGCCTACGTCTTTCAACTGATTTTATTTGAATTTTTACTCCAATAAAAACATCCTATTTTTCTTTATCTCCAATGCTGTTGAAAGTTTCTAAAAGCTGCAACTTCAAAATATGTGATATTTTATCAAAACATTTTGTCCTACAGTTGCAAGGGTTTCCAGTTTTTCTCTCCTGCTTAAGAGTTTTTTACTATTTTTGAACCCTATGTAAGTCTTTCCTTCAGCTTTCCTTTTCTTAGCAATATTTCGTTTCCAAGCATTGCAATTTTTGATGCGTTTTCTTGTAAGTTTTATTTTATTTACTTCAGAGTCACTTTCAGAAGTACTCTGTATTTAGGTTGAAATATCAGCACTTGCGTTAAAGACGGAAATGCTACTTACACTAGACATAGTGCTGTTAAGGACAAAATTTGTGTCTTTTACCGAACTGTCAAATATACTGCTGTCACTTGCAATACAAATAACCATATTATTTCTTTTAATAAATAATGTCCATTAGGTACATTATTTGACAATTAGATTTATACCATATTGTAATGCAGTATAAGACTTGAATAAACTCTACAAATAATTCAACCAAACTTGCATGTCTTTTAAAATCACTATAAAACTCGAAACCAAGGAGTAGAAAACAAAGAATACATCCGGTGCTAAAAGACGGTAACTCCGGAGTTACTTGGTTTATGCACCAAATGATTGTAGGGAATAAGTGTTACTCATTTTTATCTTGAGTTAAATGGCATAAGGAGTGCTTTGATCAATGCTATTATAGCACCAACTGTTAGAGCTTTTTTTAAGTAGTAATAATATGTGTAAAACTGAAAATTGACCAAAAGTGGAGTTACATCGTTTTTGCACGAGGGTCTTCAATTGATAACACATATAAGAGTTTCAGTTGAGGATGGATAAATTTATTTTTATTTTTATTTTTTAAAATAACGCGAATGGAAAAGTTTATATATATATATATATATATATATATATATATATATATATATATATATATATATATATATATATATATATATATATATATATATATATATATATATACATATATTATATAAATATATATATAATATATGTATATATACATATGTATTTGTATAAAAAAAAGTTTATAAACACATATATTATATGCGTGTATAAACTATGTTTTTTTATTTTATCAAAATTGCATCTTAATTTTTTTTCTTATAATATTTTTTCTATAATATTTTTTCTTATAATTTTTTTTCTATAATATTTTAGTGTTTTAGATATTTTATCAGAAAAATTTAATTAAATTGTACATTTATTTATGTATTTGTATTTATAGTTAAACATATAATTATGAAAAAGTTAAAAATATGGAATGTTTTTAACAATATCTTAAAGTATTTTTAAATCTGTAACGTAAAATAAAACAATGTTTTCTTGATCTGATAGCATTATATATGCGATCACGCTCTCTATTTTCTGAAACCATCTGCGAGCACTTCAATTGCAGATATATGATCACCTATGGAATCAATTAGATTTAATTGAAAATGAACAAATTGTACTGATGTAGGAGTCACTGCATACTCTATATGTAGATACATACGTAAAGAAAAAGAGATAAAAATATATTTTTTCTTTTTAGAAAAAAAATATTTTTTTGTCATTGAAGTTCTGACAAAGCAATGTGGAAAAAAAAGTTTAAGAAAAAAAAATATATAATAGTAAATTAATAAATATTGAACAATAAATCTTTAATTGATGAAAAATATTACAATTATCATTTCTTCACAACAAAATTCTAAATCTTAGTCCATAGTTTAAGACATGTACTTCTTAAAACAAGAAATATTTATCTTGTTTTAAGAAATAAATTTTCCCCCAATTTGTATCTTTAAAGAAGAAATATATTTCTTGTTTTAAGAAATAAATTGCTGGTTGGGAAAATTATTTCTTAAAATAAGTATTGTCTTGTTTTAAGAATTAAATGTCTTAAACTACGGACAAAGGTTTACAATTTTGCTATATTCACATTTTCATTTTTATTCATGATTTTGCTGTATTTATATTTTTATTTGTATTTTCATTCATTTGTATTAAAGCATTGATATTTGTGTTGTTAGGTATATGGCTATAATATGGAAAGTTTAAAAAGTTCAAATCCACAAAGCATAAAGTATAAATATGGAATCTGGAAGCACTGAAAATCATTGTATTGAATCTGGATACTATGTGGAGAGAAAAAATAGTAAATGTATTTATTTATATATATACAAATGTAATAATAATAATTATATTTTAATAAAAATTTAAAGAGTTCGTTTAATTTTTTTGAACTAATTTTTATTATATTATATTAATGTTTTTATTGTTATTTTTTAATCTATAGTTTTGCTCGTTGTCTACCATTTGCTAAATTTGTTTATTGTCCATTATATCAAGAATAAAAAATACGATCATAATGTTAATAGACCGCTGGTGTTGATTGAAAGGTAAAAACAAATTTTTCAAAGCAGTTATATATATATTTATAAGCATATAAAATGTTTGAAAAATGCTTATGCAAAAATGATGTTTATTTACATCAAAATGTAATAAACCATACATTTACTTTAACTGCATCATCATCAGAAGGCAGTACACTAGACTTAGTTTTGACAGATTTACCTGAACGTATTTCATTGATACATCATAATTCACCATTTGGTAACATAGATAAAGCGCATCACGTGCTATTTTGGCATTATGAATTACAAACGCATATCAAAACAAAAGAATCATATGGTAAATCAACATTCAATTTTAGAAGAGAGAATTTTAATTGAATGAATGATGAGTTCAAGTTCACTGATTAGTCAAATCTGTTCCACAGTAAAAATATCAATGGATGTTATGAGATATTTGTTAAAAAATATCAAGAGCTATCCAATAAATATAAACCAAAACGTATTAATACTAAAAAGAAATTAACACCGTGGATTGACAAATTTACAAAAGCAGAAATTAGAGAGAAAGCAAATTTATGGAAAAAATTAATATCGAATATTTTCAAGTCATCAGATTTATCAAAACAATACAAACAACAGTGCAAATTAGTCGAAAATATTGTTCAGCGAAACCGTATCGAATACAAGTAGAAGATTATTGAAAAGTCAAAATACAATCCTAAAGTTTTCTATGAGTATGTGAACGCAAACAACAAAATTAAATCAGGCATAACGTCAATTTTCGATGAATTTGGCTATCTTCATACAAATAGAGAAGCAATTGCAAATATCATAAATAAAAGTTTCAATTCTGTTTTTATTCATGAAAATAAAGATAATATTCCACTTGTTACAACTAAAACTAATAAGACTATACAATTAGATGTAGACAATCTGATCACTCGTGATTCAATTGAGAAGAAATTAGAACAATTAGATATCAACAAATCCGTTGGTGCAGATGGAATTAGTCCATATGTAATGAACAAATGTCATAGCAACAATTGCGAACCATTAGTACTAAAGTTCAAAAAATCTCTAAAAGAAGAAAATGTACCAGAGTTATGGAAATTGGCAAATATCACTCCTTTGTTTAAAAAAGGAGAAAAAAGTGATGCATCAAATTATTTACTAATTTCACAAACATCAATACTATGTAAAGTGTTAGAATCAATCATTAGAGACGAAATGATTAATTATTTATTGACGAATGGTTTACTATATGAAAATCAACACAGATTTAGAAAAAATAAAAGCTGCTTAACTAACTTATTAGAAACCTTAGATATCCTCACAGATGCCTTAGAAAATAATTGTTATATAGATATGCTTTATCTGGATTTTGCTAAAGCATTTGATAAAGTACCACATTCACGTTTAGTCCATAAATTAAAATTATATGGATTATAGGGAACTATCTAAAATGGATAGAAGAGTTCTTAAGCAATAGAAAGCAGAGAGTTGTTCTTGGGGACCGTGTATTAAATAGGTTACCAGTTATCAGCGGTGCACCACAAGGATCAGTTTTGGGACCGTTACTATTTCTGTTGTTTATAAATGATCTACCGGATCATGTGAAAAACAACATGAAACTTTACGCCGATGATAGTAAAATTATTAACATAATAAGCAATTCATGTGACGCTAAAAAACTTCAATTAGTCATAGACAACATCATGGCATGGTCATCTACTTTGCAAACAGAGTTTAATTATGACAAATGCAAGATTATGCATATTGGAAGAAAAAATCCTAATCGTCTGTTCATAATGCATGATATTGACACCAATTTAAATCACAGCATATCAGTTACTGAAACTGAAAGAGATTTGGGTATAATGATACAATCTGATTTAAAATGCAAAACGCAAGTTGATACAGCGGTTGGCAGAGCAAACTCAGTGCTTGGTATTATAAGAAGAACATTCAAATACGTCGACACACATATGGTGAAAAGTTGTACGTAACATTTATTCGACCACACCTTGATTTTGCGATTCAAACTTGGTGTCCATTTTTAAGACAAGACATCGATAAAATGGAGAAAATCCAAAAAAGAACCACAAAGTTAGCGCCAGCATTAAAAAAAATACCTTATGAGAAAAGATTAGATACTATGAAATTAACAACTCTAGAAGAACGGCGAATACGTGGCGATCCAATCCAACAGTATAAAATTCAACATGGGTTTGATAAAGTAAATTAGGTTTCAAACTACAATTATACCGCGTCACAAGAAGGCCCCCATCTGAGGCAACATTATTTCAATTTAAAAAAACTATTCTAAAAGAATACTATCAGATCAATTTTTTTTCTCTAATCGTATAGTCAACATATGGAATAATTTACCGAGTGACCTAATAGAAGCAGAATTAATAAATCAGTTCAAAAACAAACTAGATAAATCAAATATTTGCAAAAACATTTTAATACAAAATTGTTTTTATGATCATTTGATTTAGAGATTTAAGAATTGTGCAAAGCTGATACAGTGCAATATCTACTGTTATTGCGCTCCACAACTGTTAGCACCAGTTGTTACAGCTACCTCTTATTATTATTATATTATTAAAAGCTTACACAATAATACGTAAGCATAAAAAATTTAAAAAGAAATGATAAGCTTATGCAAAAAGTGAAATAAGGCTCACAATTTATGCTTTATAATCTATGTCGTAATTATGTAATTTATTTTGTGTTTAGGTATATGTTTGACTATAATCAAGAGAATGCGAGAAAAAACGCAAAAAGAATGAAAGATAACAGTTATTTGCTCTAAAAGTATATATATAATATTTATATATATATTATGTATATATAAATTTTTATTTAACTTTTTTTATGGAATAATTAGTGCAACAATTTATGTCATTAATAACTGAAGAATATATTTATGTCATTAATTTTTCCTTGTAAATTTTTTTTTATCGTTTAAGGAATACTTTTTTTGAATAAGAATTTTTTTTCAAGTAAATTTTGCGAACTTTCTGGCAGCAGATTTTCCAGAAATTTTCCGTTATTTTATAGAAAAATCAGTTACTTATTAACGGAAATATCCGTTTAAATACGGAAATATCAGTTTAAATACGGAAATATCTGTTAATACGATGATAGATATTTTCCGTAATTTATGCTGAATTTTCCTTCAACAATTTATTTTTTCCGTAAAATAACGCATACTTTAAAATTTGCTGCCGGAAATTTCCTTAAAAAACGCTATATTTTTTTAAGAGCGCAATAGTTTAGTTTGCAGAAAAAAACATTTCGCATAACCATTCTATTCAACGTTCTGTTTAACTGTCAACAGATGGTAAGAATGACAATAAAAGATATGAGCAACGTTGCCATTTATGAAATAACATCTTTCGCATCGTTGCCAAAGTAAAAAATAATACAAGAATAAAAGATTATGTGAAGAGCAAAGGTTTTTAGTGGTATAATTTCTGTTTTTTTCTCTAAGTCTGATATTATGGCAAGCCACTGTATATACTTTTAAAACTTAGATGAGTATCAATTTTTGTGTATATGTGTGTGTATATATATATATATATATATATATATATATATATATATATATATATATATATATATATATATATATATATATATATATATATATATATATATATATATGTATATATATATATATATATATATATATAGATATAGATATAGATATATATATATAATATATATATATATATATATATATATATATATATATATATATATATATATATATATATATATATATATATATATATATATATATATATATATATATATATATATATATATATATATATATATATATATATATATATATATGTATATATTTATATATATATATATATATATATATATATATATATATATATATATATATATATATATATATATATATATATATATATATATATTTAAGAGATGCTTATTATAATATGTTACACAAACTTTATATAAATACGTATTTACGTAAATATGTTGCAATATGATTTTTACTTTTTTTTGATCATATTTATAAGTTGACTTTATTTTACTTGCATGTACTGTTATGTAATGTACTTATTTTTTTACGGTAACGTAATGTAACTTTTTTTTACCAGTCTTGGTGACAAGACCTAATGGTTTTCCTCGAGTGTCCGCATTCTTTGTTTTTTGTTTCTTTTTTTTATAAAGTATTGTTGAAGTTTTACTCTTTAACGAATTATTTACCTGTTATTTCATTTCTTATAAAAACCACTTTAAAGGTGTATATAGTAACTCCTTATACAATAGAAAAACATTAAATTTAAAGTTCTTTTTTTAAGTGGTGTGGAAAATTTTTCAATTCTTCTGGCAAAGTATTGTTACGCAAATTAACCATTTTTTTACTTCTGCCACCTTTTTTTTAAAGAATAAGCCGAATAAATTTAAATGCTTTTACTCGACTTTGTATTTTATTTATTTTCTTTTTCAATAAGCAACGCAATTTCAAAAAGACTTTTAAAGTTATAAAAGTGAGCACATTTTTTTCATTACTTGCTCGAAATTTTTATGAACTGGGAAGAAATAAAAAGACATCGAAAAGAAGGTAAATTTGCAGTTATCAAAGATGATAAAATTTTTGTACGAGAGTTTCAGAAATAAGTTGAATGCTTAACCCATCGATATATAAATACTAGATGTCTAACTCTGTAATGTAAAAATTTCCTAAGGAAATGTGAGACATATTTTTTTGGAAAATAAAATGTTTTTCCAATATTCAATATGGCATCCGCCAATGCGACGAAAACCTTGCATAAAATTTTTCATTCATAAATAAGCTGACGTTAATTATTTCATCTAAACGTTGTTTTTAAATAGTAAACTAAAAGTAGTTGATGTTACTTTAAAGTTATTGTTATAAAAATTAGTTAACTAATATGGAAAAAAACCTTCAATATGTTATATGCTTTAAAGGAACTAGAAATGAATTAGATTATGTAGGTATTTTAAATTTACATCAATATTAGCAATATTTTATTGGTATATATATATATATATATATATATATATATATATATATATATATATATATATATATATATATATATATATATATATATATATATATATATATATATATATATATATGTATATTCTACATATTATTTAATATATAATCAATGTTTAAATATAAACTTTATTTTCTTCTTTACAATTAGAAAAGTTTTCATCTACTTTTTGTATATATTAAAAAAAAAGCTATATTATCTCCAAAACTATACACTTCCTTTTTAAATTGAAAATAAAATATTTGTATGCCTTTAAATAAAATTATTTTATTAAACTGCTGGCGTAAACAACAGTTTTTATTGAGAATGTCATTAGTAAAATGTTTCCCATTACTAAATAAACGAATCGAGAGATACTTATTATATTTTATAAGAGTTAAGAGGAGTGCATATCTTCAGTTAAAAATTCATGATCTAAATTCATGATCTAAACCTTGCATGTGAAAAATGGTTTCCTGAACTGAATGTTCAGGAAACAATTCTTCACATGCAAGCTCTTCATTAATTTTATAAACTATTAAGGACTTTAAGTTTTTTCGAGAAAAATGGTTAACATTTTTGAATTTATGCCTATAACAAAAGCTCTAAATATTTTCTCACTATTTTCAATAATTTTAATCATAGTAATAGACGGTATATTTATTCCACCATAATTCTTTAAATTTTAGGATAACCAAGATGATTTGTAAAATATTGAGTAGATATGTTCACAAATTACATTATCTGGTTAACTAAGTGCTTCAGCACATATGCAACAAGTTATTTTGTTTTTAGGAGTTCTGACAATATAACCAGCTATATTACAAAATATTGCTTGTTTGTATATTGATGTTGAAATGGTTTCAAGGCCATTTGATAAATTTTCAAAGCCATTGATAAATTTGCTTTAATATCTGTTTCTATGATAATGATCTTAATTTGCTCCACTTTAAAGAAAAAATTGAACCAGCTGAATTTTTTTCAAAAGTGAGGCAATTTGCATGTTGTGAACCTATTAAAAAGTTTCGTAAAAGAGTTTTCTTTAAGCTTGACTTTAATTGGATAACATCTGGATTATTATTAAAACCATTTTTGCCTCAAATACAAGCAAACAGCTGTGCTAGGTGATTTTGAGACATTTTGTAAGTCAACACATATTTAAACAAACTTTCCAATCTTGATGGAAAATAAAATGTTAGGTCTCTGATACTTGTTGCAGAGGTAATAAAACCAATAAGAAATGTCTTTCTTTTATGTTTAAGAATTTTCTTCACTTCTTCTGAATATCTGTAACCTCGAGGATCTTTGCATTTTCTACACTAGTTCAGATTTAAATAAGTTACAAACTCCAGAAAATTTATGATCAACAAGTTGAGCTGCATCAGCTGATAAAAGCTTGTCATTCTCAAGTTTTTTAATAGTTTTTTATAATATGAATCCAAATTATATTAATTTGGATTCATATTATAGTTACATGGTTTAATAATAATATGATATATTCAACTGATATTTTTAATAAGTCTCATTAAAAAAGTATTGCTAAATGTCACATCTCTGATCGCTTCCCAAATTTTTTTCAATTAACATTGCCACAGCAAAAATATCCCAACAGAATGTAACGTTCACAAAACGCTTTTTTACTTCAGCGAATTTAAATTCATTTAAAAAACAGTTATCCCTACTGCATTGGAAAAACGTAAATGCTTCTGCTGACGCTAATGTAGCTTTTGACGCATTCTTTAAAACTTTTTATGAAATATACGACGTAAATTTTCCAAAATGTACTGTTATTAAAAAAATAGAGGTTTAATGTCACCGTGGGTCACAAAAGATCTCAAAAAATCTTCTAAAATTAAGCAAAAATTATAAAACAAATACTTGAAAACAAAAACACAAGAAAGTAAGATTCTTTACAAAAACTATGTCAGAAAGTTTGAAACTCAAAGAAAGAATTTAAAAAAACTGTACTTTTCCAATCTACTTGAAATGAACAAACATAATTCTAAACGCACCTGGGATATTCTAAGAGAAGTTACTGGCATGCAAAAAACAAAAACATGCGTATTGCCTGTAATCTTAAAAATTTATGATAAATTTTTGTCCAATCCAACAATGATATGCGCTGAATTAAATAAATTCTTTGTGTCAGTTGACCCAAATCTTGCTAAAAAAAATTCCTTTTGTGATAAATAAAATGGATAACTTCGATTTTCCGTTAACTTCGTCTCTAACCTCCTTTGAATGATCTTTTGAAGAATTCGAACAATCTTTAAAAATGCTAAAGTCTAATAAATCTGTCGGTCACGACGATATATTTAGTAATGTGGTCAATGACTCGTATGAACATTTGAAAGATGTACTAGTTTTTCACTGTTCAATAAAACAAGGAATATTTCCAGACCATCTTAAAATAGCCAAAGTCACACTAATTTTCATAGAAGGTGATACTACAAATCTTACAAATTATCGCCCAATCTCTGTTTTACCTGTTTTAGAGAAGGTGTTAGAGAGTTTTTAGAGGTTTTAGAGAAGGTGTTTTAGAGAAGGTGTTAGAGAGAATCCTATATAACGTAATTTATAATCACCTTCTTTAAATAATATACTTTATACTAATTAATAACAGTTCAAAAAAAATACATAAACAGAACACCCGATACTTCATATAAATCGTAGTATTTCCGAATCGTTTGCAAATTCCCAATATACGTTGGGAGTTTTCATAGATTTATCAAAAGCTTTTGATACAATCGATAACCAAACTCTCCTTAAAAAAGTTAAATATTATGAAATTAAAGGAAATGTTTTAAAGTTTTTTTAAAGTTACTTAAGTAACCGCAACTGTTTATAGTAATGAAGTTAACCCATCTAATTTATTGAACATAACCTGTGGGGTTCCACAGGGCTCAGTATTAGGACCACCTCTCTTTCTTATTTATATTAATGATTTTCATAAAGCTTCTAATTTGATGTCAGTCATGTTTGCCGATGACACTAACCTCTTTTTGTCTGATAATAACATAACTACATTATTTCGAGATATGAATTAACAAAAATAACTGATTGGTTTTAAATGAATAAATTTTCACTAAATGTTAAAAAAACAAAATAGACACTTTTTCATCCAGCGTCTAAAAAAAACCTACTTCCTCGTGAGCTACCTTTACTTTTTATTGATGAAATCCAAATAAAAAGAGTAACTAGTGCTAATTTTTTGGGTATCAATGTTGATGAAATCTTTAGTTGGAAACACCACATTGAATTCTTGTGTAATAAAATTGCTAAAAGTATAGGAATATTGTATAAAGCTAGAGGTGTGTTAAATAAACGTAGTCTAATTGAATTATATTTCTCTTTTATCCATTGTCATTTAAACAATGCAAATATTACTTGGTGCAATGCCAAATGTAAACTAGAGCCTCTTTATCGTCAACAGAAGCATGTTGCTCGTCTTATTAATTTTAAAAACACATTTAGTCATGCCAAGCCTCTTTTGTTTGAAATGAAAATTGTTAATATATATCAGCCTAATGTTTTTAATATTCTTTGTTTTATGTATAAATGTAAATCTAACTCTTCCCCAGTTTCTTTTCATAATTTATACACGCTGAAATATAAAAATAAATACAATTTAAGAAATGATATTTTAATTCGTCAACCATTTTTTCAGACTAATTTTGGAAAATCTAGTATTTCTTTTCGAGGAGCTTTTCTTTGGAACAAAATAGTTTTAAAACATTTTAATTTTTCTCTGCAATGGAGTTATTTTTCATTTAGAAATAAGCTTAAAGAAATCATTTTGTCTAATGACGATATATTGGTATATTTTTAAATGTTATTAATTTGATGTATTATTTTAGTTTATTCAGTTGAATATTTGTAAGAACATGCACTTAAATGTGATTAACTATATATGCATTTGACTTTATATATATATATATATATATTGAATTTTATAAAGTTTTAATTTACGAGTGGTTCTTGGTGACAAGACCTATTGGTCTTCTGCGAGTTTCCGCGTTCTTTTTATATTCACAAAAAAGTCTTAGTTTTATGTTCTATTTATTTCTTATTGAGTAACGTTTTTAACAATCTAATTGTAATTTTTTCTTATCAATCTAATTGTAATTTTTTCTAACGATCTAATTGTAAATTAAATAATTTTTCTTTGAATATATTGTAATAAGAACAAAAAAACAAATATATATATATATATATATATATATATATATATATATATATATATATATATATATATATATATATATATATAATTATCCGAAAAATACATCATTAGAACTATTGCATAATCTAAAGAAAACTTATCATATCAACTTTAAATAATTTGTAATTTTTGAACCGTTATTACATTTGACTTAAAATTTTAAATAGTTATTCAGTTTTTATTAAATCTGTAGGAATTATCTAGAATTGTTTATTTTAAAGACTGAAGGGTTTTTACTTATTTAATTGTGTAATGAAGAAAAAGCATAAGGGTTGGACTATGCAAATATGCATAATGGAATCATGGAATCCAAAAAATACATAATTTAAAAACAATTGCATAATTTTCAGTCCTGTCAGTAAAATTATTGCATAAATTACAGACCGGTCATTAAATTACAGAAAAAAACATGTACAAACCAATTGGTTATATTGCCCTTAAATTTTTGAACCGTTATTACATTTAAATGAACAAATTTTTGAAACAGTTGAAAAACAATTGAAGTTTTAAGTAGTGATCCAGCTTTTATTGAATCTGTTGGAATTATACAGAATCGTTTATTTTACAGTCTAATGTGTTTTTAATTATATAATTATTTAATGAAGAACAATAGTTAGGGCTACAATATGCAAATATTTATAAAGAAACCACGGAACCTGAAAAATACATCATTTTGAAATTATAGCATAATGTACAGAGAGGTAAGTAAATTACTGCATTAGGGTTGCTCAAACCAAATCGGCAATTTGACTTTTAATATATTTGATAGTTCGTATAGATACAGATAATGATAATCTTTCCAAGCGAAAACGTCGAACGGTTTTACCATATTTAATGAGTGGTTCTGATAATTTGGGTTGTATGAGTTATTTTACATTATATTGTTTGGTATTATACTAAAATATTTTTTTGATGTATCAGCAATTATAGATAATGATGTTTCTTCCAATCAACCAAAAAGGTCTAAATGATGAAGAGCAAGAGACCATAATCGACAAGTTTGCTTTACATCTATCATCACTACAAAAGTGTACTTTATTTTATCTTTATTTAAAAATTTGTATTTATAAACTTTTTTGCTGTGTTTTCAATACTGTTGCATAAATTTTTCTTTTTTGAGACTAACTTCTTAGACTTATAGCAAATAATACTCTTTAAAACACTGAACTTGAATTTAGTAAGATCAATGAGTATTATTTGTTATGCTAATAAAGATTTTTGTAGGACTTTACAGTATACATTTAAAGTATATCAGATATTTTTAAGAAGTCTGTTTTTGCAGATATTGCAGACAAAGTGTTGTTTTCTATCATTAAATTTAAGTTGTTGTTTTTTTTAAGTGCTTTCAAATCTGAATTTGATAACTAAAAAGAAGCAAAGAATTGGTTTGGAGATTGATCCAGAATCTCAAACTATAGTACAATCGTCTCAATATTATAAGTATAACTTGTACCTCAATAAAAAATTTTGAAAAAATTATAAAAAAATATATTAGGACACACCTGATTAGCAATAACTTATTAAGTCCACAGCAATCTGGATTTCGTCCAGGTCATTCCTGCTTAACTAACCTTTTAACTGTAATTAATTATTGGACATTATCACTTGATAAGAATATTTCCATCGACATCTTGATTTTGAAAACGCCTTTGACAAAGTTCCACATAAATTTCATATTTTTAAACTTAAAGCTTATGTTATAAATGGTTCAATACTATATTGGATAACAAACTTTTTGGAAAACCGTAGATAAAGAGTTGTTATAAACGGTAAATATTCCGACTGAATGTCTGTTAAAAGTCAAGTTCCCCAAGGCTCTGTCCTTTCAGCGTTACTCTTTATTATATATGTCAACGATATCCCTGAATTAATCAAATCAAAAGCTTCTCGTTTTGCTGATGATACCAAAATCTTCCGATCTATTGAAAGTACCAAAACTGCGCAAGAAATACAAAATGACATTGACGCTCTTGTTTTATGGTCTCAAAAATGGGGAATGAAATTTAACATTGATAAATGTTCTGTAATACCCTTGGGACACAACAACAAGTCCCATACTTATAATATGCATAATCCAAAACAAAATATAAGAGTAAACATTAAACCCACAAATTGCGAACGAGATTTAGGCGTTCACATAGATTCAAACTTATTATTTTCAAAACAAACAATTATTCAAGTTAACAAAGCAACACAAATAATAGGAATAATAAAAAGAGCATTTACATTTTATCCAGAATTATCATCCTTCAAAAAACTATTTACAGCCCTAGTTCGCCCTCACATAGAATACTGTGGAAAAGTTTGTAACCCTGTACTTCACAAAAACAAATTAGAAAACGTTTTAAGAAGAGCTTCAAAAAGAATTAAAGGGTTATATGATCTACCATATAAACAAAGGTTATTGGCGCTAAATATGACAACTATTAAATATAGGCTACGTCGCGCAGATCTAATTAACGTTTATAAATGGTGCAAAGAAAACAATGGTAATAGAAATCTGTTTGAAATTGATTGCCAATTTATTACTCGTGGTCATATCTATAAACTAAAAAAACATTCTTCCCAATTAAATTTACGCATTAACTTTTTCTCGCTAAGAATCGTACCGCTTTATCACTAAAATCATTTAAGCTACTCCTAAACAATCATTAAAAGAATGAATGGTTTCTCTATGACTAATCTGCATTTGTTTTAGTTAAAAAATTTCTATAGTTTTCAAATATTATATGAGACCAGATTGACAGGCAATTTATGCCTATACAATTTATTGTAAACCTTAAATGTAAAATAAAAAAAAAAATCTTAAATAAAAATTTATGAAAGTTCAATAAAAAATATTGTTATTAAGTCTTTTTCATCTCTTATTTCCAAGTAATTTGATATAGTATTTTCAAGATTTTTGCTATTCTGATGCTTTAAATATTCTTGTAGAGAATTTTGATTGGTTACTTATTTTATCAAGTTGTAATATATAATAAATTAATATTATAGGTGGCAGGTTTAGGTCGTGCTAGTGGCATCCACCCTTAAAAAAAGTATCTATGAGGCAATGAACAAACTTTTAACTAAAGATATTGCTTCAAAATTTATTATAACGGGCACTGCCCAGAAGTGTAATTTTTGCACGGAATTCAAAAGTATTTATTCAGCCATTATAGGTATATGTACAAAGAAACAAGTTTACACATCATATTTTAATAAATGTGACTAATTCTTTTTCAAATATACAAAGATATTTCAATTTCATGGTTTAAAGTTCTGTATCTTTTTTATTTAGAGGCAGTTAGTAGTCAACATGCTGACACCAAAAATATTCAACTCCACAGTTTCATTGAAGAGTGGTTGCGACAAGCAATTGAATTTGAAATTGAAGCAATTGAAGCATTGAATATCGGAACTAAAAAGAAAAACATTTAAAATCATATTAAAACTTTATAAAAGATTGTTTTTCTTTTACTAATAAAATGTTTTTTTAACTCCTGTTTTGTAACTTTATAAACTAAAATATATTTCAACTTTTGTTATTTATATTATTTCAGTTTAAAAAAAATGATTTAAGTCTTCTATTATTTTTGCTTATTTATTTATGATGTATCATCATACTTTAATAAAATATTGGTAAAACGATTCTCTCTAAATTTTATCAATGTTCATTTTTTTTTTTTTTAAATGCAGTCAGGAGCATGGATGCAGTCAGCAGCAATATAAAAGATTATGATAACTAAATAACAATATAAAAGATTATGTTAACTAAATAATCAACAGTTTTAAAGGAGATAATCACAATAAATCGTTATGAAAACATTTTTAATTATAGTTTATTAAATTGCTTGTCATTTGATACATTTTTTTTGAAGAACGTCACTCGTTTGTATTTCATTATTATATATTTCTTTTGTATTATATATTTGTTTTATTTAAGAAATAGAATTTCAGAAGCTGTAGTTTTGTTAAACTAACTAACTGTAGTTTTATTAAAAACAAATTAAGGATTTTGAATGATTATTTTTAAATAAGTTAATTGTCGCAATCCCTGCAAACACTAAAATTTGGCGCTAAAATAGTAATTTATCAATACTAATTAAATATATTATAAATTATATATAATAAGTACTTTATCACTATTAACAATAATAATCGCAACTAAATCACGAGTGCATCGGCGTTAAATCAACGGTGATCATCGTTACATATTTACTAGTGATAAATCACCACTCAAATTCGGTAATACAAAGTTTACAAAATCACCATTGAATTTGTACTTAATCGCCGCTTACGAATAATATTGAATCACTACTAAATCAATAGTGTATCGTAATAGTATATCAAATCAATAGTAAATCAATAGTATATATATATATATATATATTTTTTTTTTTTATTGTTATTATGGTTGAGTACTGTTTTGGTTGTATAGCTTGTCTTATTTATTTTTAAATATTCTCTATTAATCTTTATTTTTGTCTTGACAACTGTCAAAATATGCTTTGTCTAATAAATAATTCTCCTTTATTCTAATGTACTTCATTTCTTCCCTCAGGCGTTCACTGCTCGTGAGTGACCATTCGGCGAATTTTATATGCCAAAGTTTTTAAATAATAGTATATCGCTGTTAAATCAGCGGTGATAATCACTACTTACTTAATTATAAAATTATTTCGTCTGAAAGAAAAACGCTGAAAAGGGGAGGTGGAAACTTAGTTTACATTTGTAATGACCACGATATCAAAATTAGATAAGACCTCTCTATCTCTAATTCAGACAGTGAGGTACAATTGAGGTAACAATTGAGATAATTTAAAAAAATACAAAAAACATTGCAATTGTAGAAACGGCGTTGTTATTCAATTTTCAAAATATCTGTAAAAATTTTTTATCAAAAACAATAATGAACAAAAAGATTTTTCTGCATTGATGACATTAACATAGATAGATTAAAAAACAATGAAAACCCTATTTCTAAAATCTTTTTATCAATATATTTCAACACGGCATTTTCCCACTCATTAACAAACCAAGTCGTGTTACAACAACTTCCATTAATGCTATAGAGAATATTCTAACTAACTCTTTTCTAGATGAGTCCATAAAAGCAGGATAATTAAAACTGACATTTCAGATCACTTTCCAATTTTCTTTTCTTTTGTTGAATATGTAACTATAAAAGATAATTCTGAAATCAAAATTTTGAAACAAAAAATGAATGAACATTCTATGCTTAAATTTAAAGAATCTTTATCAACGGTAAATTGGATAAAAGTTTACCAAGAATATAACCTTAACGCAAATTCCGCTTATAATCTATTTCTCGACATTTTTTTTTAATATTATAACAAACATTTCCCAATACGATAAATAGAAGTTAAATCAAAATATTTAAAATGCCCTTGGATTACATGCGGAATAAGAAAATCTTCATAAAAAAAGCAAAAATTTTACATCAAATATTTAAAAAACAGAAACGAAGCTAATCTTAATGTCTGTAAAGAATATAAAAATCTGTTTGGAAAAATTAAAAATAAATCTAAAAAAAGATATTATTCTGAACAATTAAAAAATAATAATGGAAACACAAAAAAAACGTGGGAAGCAATAAAAGAAATCATTGGTAAAAATAAAACAGTTTGTGACATTTTACCATCCAGAACAATGGAAAACAATATTGAGTACAAAAACAAAAAAGATATATCAAAAATATTCTATAATTTTTTTTATAAACACTGGCCTAAACCTGGCATTAAAAATAATAAGCTTAGAAAAATCGTTTCAAAATTATTTTAGTGACTTTGAGAGTTTATTGTCAGATAGTGCTCTAACTTAAGATGAACTAGAAACAGTAATGAAATCAATTGTGTTGTTTATACTAACTTTTAGTATAGACAACACAATTATTAAACAAACTCAATCATATAAATTTCTTGATGTGCTTCTTGACAAAAGTTTATCATAGAGCTCTCACATAAATACCATTTGTACAAAAATCTAAAAATACATTGGTCTACTCTAAATAAGAAATTATCTACTATTCAAAAATTTAAAACTTCTTTATTTTTCCTTTTTACACAGCTATCTATAATGCGCCAATATAGCATGTGCAAAACTAAGTAGTTTTTTATGGTATTCTAATCTTTTTTTTTTTTTTTTTTATGGTGTTCTAACCTTTTTTTTTTTTTTTTTAATGGTATTCTAACCTTTTCTTTTTTTTTATGGTATTCAAACCTTTCCTTTTTTTTTATATGGTATTCTAACCTTTTTTTTTTCTGCGCAAAAAAATTTTTTTCTTTATTTTTGCTTGCACAACCAAGACTTAATGTAAAGACTTAATGATTTCTCTTCTAAACGTTTAACAAATTTAAGACAACTTATATTGTTTTAAATTTGTTAAACGTTAAGTTCGTGGAGTAAGCTTTTCTATTGTTTAAAATAGGCTTCTTTAAAGAAGTCCATTTTAAAAACAATTATGTTACTTATATATATATTTCAAGGCTTCGCAATGAAAGTTATGTTGTGCATTTTTACGTTGATCAGTTTTGAACAATCTGAATGATTAGTGCGCAAAAAAACTTTTTATAAACTTTTATTTTAAAAATGTGGTTGAGAAAGGTTATATTTTTAGTTTGCTTAATTCATAAAGTAATTTTAAACGAAGAATACATTCGATTTACCACAGGTAGAAATATTGATTTGATTGAACTTATTATATTTTAGTTATAATTAACAACGATCAAATAAAATTTCAACATAAATTTTATATTAATATGTGTAATTAAGACAAAAATTTTAAGTATAAGTAAGTAAAAAATTTCGTAAAAAATATTTTATTGGGTGACTCCTTGAAAGATGTCGGGTAGAGAGTCTTCTCCTGAAGTGCAGAATTATTAGAACGCACTATTAGTGACAAAGACTAATGTTTGATTAAAACTTTTATTACACCTTATTAAATGTAGTTACAAAACTCAGTTAGTTTTATCTAAACAGTTTTATAATTATGACTTAAAAAAAGCTACCGTATGTATATACGTAAGATATCTGATTTTTAATCATCAAAACGTACTTAAATGAGTTTAAAGTGAAGACTTATTGGTTTCTCTTCTAAACGTTTAACAATTTTAAGACAACATAAGTGTGTGGAGTAAGCTTTTCTATTGTTCAATAAACATGTTTTAACTAGGTTCAATTTTTTTTTTCTTTTCCTTAAAACCTTTTTTTACCAGTAAGCCTAATGTCATGATATTTATGAACCATGAAAAGAAATAACTGTTAAATGTTATAGTCTATATGAGCTACAAAGGTTAGCATGGATCCTGATAATGCCAACCTAGCTGACCCAAGAGCGCTGCTTATATAGAGCGTAGAGGTCAAGGTTCCTTGTAATAACTTCTTTAAAATTATCACAAGTTACTTTAAAGTATACCCTAAAGTATGAAGGGTTAACCTAAGGCCTAATATGATGCAACTAACTATAAATCACGATATTTAATGCAAAAAGCTTTATTCACTACGAGATATTCTTTAAAAGGTCACGTGGTGCCACAATTCCATGCACAATAAAAATTTATTTTTTAAAATTAAAACTTTTCAAAAAACGGGGAAAAAAAATACGTATTGATTAATTCTAAAATGTTAAAAAAAAAAATAAGCAAAGGGAGGGAGGAGGTGTAACGAAGGGAGGGGGGTGTAAATACAGTACGGGATAAAATCAAAACTAATGAACTGAAGAAAAAAAAAAAGGGAAGACCATTAATGGCACCTCTTTTAATAGTTATAATAAATCTAGTTTGTATAGATAATAAATCTAATTTGTATAGATCTTTTGAGAAAAAGGGGCAGTTATTAAATTGCGTAATTAAATAGTGTCTTGCGTTTTTTTTTAATTTCACGATTTTATTGACAAAACTTATATTTTTTTCTTCGAGACCGAAAATAATAATTCTGACCGCATTATAATTCTGCAATCAAAGTCGCTAGAAAAACAAAAAAAATTTAAAATGTATACATTATGTTTCTTGGTGTCATGAAACAAATTTCTCCCGTCCATTTTTGTTTATATTACGTGTGTCGCGAAGATTTAACCCCTTACTTCAATCAGCTACTACGTTTTATTGTTATTATGATACAATAAATACCAAATGTGTTTTTTAATTCGTTATTTGAACTGAAAATTAAACAGTTTATAACGAAATTAAAAAAAAAAACAGAATAAAAAAATATTTAAATAATCAATATATAATTCTAACAACAAAAGACTAACGAACTTTTTTTATTTATTTTAAACTTAAAATGTTAACTACTTTTTTGGTAAAAAAATTACTCAAGAAACATCAAATATATATATATATATATATATATATATATATATATATATATATATATATATATATATATATATATATATATATATATATATATATATATATATATATATATATATATATATATATTTATATATATATATATATTAACATAAAATTCAGAAGAAAAAAAAAGGTTTGACCATCAAATTTAAAAAAATAAAATGTACGGTTTCTTTAATTCTATTAATTTAATTTTATTTGTAATTAATTTTCAAATTTCTAGTAATGATTTTGTTAAAATACTCTGTCTTTAGTATATAAAAAAGTATTTTCTTTTACTATTTACATTTTTTATTTCAAAAACAGTCGCTTTTTCATTATTTAAAATTAAAAAATGTGATATTATATACACAATTATGAACATATGTACAAGCCAATTAAAACTTCCACGTTGTTCCGCGTTCAATTTTGGTTAATTTAATTAGTTTACAAACTATTATCTTTTTTGTATAGTGTAGTTAAATACAACGTGTAGCCTGCTTTTTTTTTTTTTTTTTTACAAAAAATAATTTTCGGATATTGGTAAAAATACTCAGCAAAATATTGGCATAGTGTAATTTCTTGAGATAATCGCTTTAACTTTTGACCTTATAGCATTTGAATATAAAAGCAGAGGTGAGGGGGGTGTTTCACCTCTCGTAACTCCCCCTCCCCACCACCACCACCCTCCTCTTGCTTCTCCTCTCCAAAAATGGTGATTTTGAAGTTATAGTGGGTTTTTTTACGAATTTAGTCGGCTGGTCGGATATTTTACACAACTCAGTCGGGTAAATTTTATTTTTTAACTTTTTATAATTTTTCTATTTTTTTTAATTTTTTTTTTTTATTATTATTATTTAAGAAGCCTGTCGGTACTTTTTAAAGATTTACCCCCTGCCCCTTCCTCATTTTACCCCCTGCCCTTTCCTCATTTTATTCGTAGAATTGCCTCTGTATAAAAGTATTTTAGTATTGTACTTAAAAATAAAAAAAATTGATTGTGAAACAAGTAAAAAAAGACTTGGTAAAATCTATATTGAATTTGCTAAAACTTTTTATTCATTTCCTAATCATAAATTATGTTAAACTATTTAAACTAAATATATATGATTACAGATGCTTACTCCAAAAAACTGATTTTAATCCAATTTGATTTTTGTAAAGCTCGCAATTTGAAGGAAGCTCTAGAAAGCCTCAACAAACTGATCCAAATTGCAAGATTTTTTTGTTCTATTTTTAAACATCTTTACTTTCAACGAAGATGCAAGCAAGCACTATTAGAGTTAAAAGTTGAAGAGGAAAGATCAAGTTGAAGAGGAAAGATCAAGTTGAAGAGGAAAGATCAAGTTGAAGAGGAAAGATCAAGATGAAGAGGAAAGATCAAGTTGAAGAGGAAAGATCAAGTTGAAGAGGAAAGATCAAGTTGAAGAGGAAAGATCAAGTTGAAGAGGAAAGATCAAGTTGAAGAGGAAAGATCAAGTTGAAGAGGAAAGATCAAGTTGAAGAATAAAGATCAAGTTGAAGAGGAAAGATCAAGTTCATAAAGCTTACGACTAATGACTTAAAAGATTGCAAATTGTATGAATTACATAATTGTATGAATTAGACAAAAAAAACAAGATGAATGGTGCGAATTCCAAATGACTAATTTTTGAAGAAAAAAATAAGATGAATAAGAGTTTTTGGAGCATTTGGAACACTGACATTAAAAGGATGACACTTAATCAATGACGAGTAACATAAGAATGAATTTTAGTAGATGGCACAAGAGACGCTAGTTCTTTAGAACAGCGCTTATCAAGATGTTTATAGAATAGAGACAGAGAAACAATATTACGACAACGTGACGATTGTTGAATGGTTGAAGGATGTTTTTGATTTTGCTTCTGACACAGAAAGTAAATCTGCAGCATTAGATAAATGCACGGCGAACGAAAAAGATAAAAAGATAAATGCACGGCGAACGAAAAAGATAAAAAGATAAATGCACGGCGAACAAAATGAATACTAAGATAATACAAATCTTGAGAAAATTAATTTATTTTTAGAAGTTTTATGATTTTTAAAACTGCTTTAGAAAGATTTGGAAATGCTTGACTTGCCAAAAATTTGTTGACAACTCTCGGGTGGGTTTTTCTCATTGTTTTTATTTTTGCCCAGAGCACTTTTTTTCTTCTAAACCCTGTAAAAATATTAATAAAGAGGAAGGTTCAAAAAGGAATGAACTTTTAAAACAAATAGAAGTATCGTTGCCTTGCAAGAGGTTAGTGTGGGATTTAAAAACATAGAACGATTCTTTTTCTGCTTGAACTTTTTTAGTATTACTAAAAGTTGCTACTATCGTTACAATAAAGTTTCTATTAAGCGAACATATCATATTGTAACCGTTAAAAGCATCCTAAAAACTAAACCGTAGAACGATTCTTTTTCTGCTTGAACTTGTTTAGTATTACTAAAAGTTGCTATTATTGTTACAATAAAGTTTCTATGAAGCAAACATATCATAATGTAAACGTAAAAAGCATCCTAAAAGCTACTGAAAGGTTTAAGTCTAACTCTAATTTCCCAACACAAAAATATGTTACCGTTGATGGAACCTGGTAAACCAGAGGATATTCCTCCTTTAATGGAGTAGTAACAACAATTATTGATAAAAAAATGTATTGATGTCGAAGTACTATTAAAATTTGCCATGAATGTGTCACTTGGGAAACAAAAAAAACAACACAGAATGGTTTTTGAATCACTAATGCCGTATTAACCATGTTAAATCTTCAGGAGCTATGAAATCTGATGGAGCTGTCAAAATATTTAATCGCTTAATGAAAAAAATTAATTTGATTTATAATAAATATTTAAGAGATAATGACTACTCTTTTAAAAACTTAATGAATACCCTTACAAAGATTTGAATATTAAAATCACAAAAATGGAAATGTGTTAAGCGTGTACAGAAAAGAATCGGCACTAGACTTCATAAGGTTTTTAAAGAAACAAAAATACCACTCCGTGGCAAGCGAAAGTTCATCAAATCTGTAATGAATTCTATGCAGTGCATTAATGACCTAGCCAGAAGTAACAAACTTGACAATTTATATGCTATGAAAAAAGCTGTTTGAGCGATTTGTTTCACTGTACAGGTTTTGACCACAAGAAATTTCGATACTCTGTGTGCTCAAAAGACACTTACATTTGGCATAAATTTCATCTAAACAAAGTAAAAAATATGTAAAAAAAATGTAGAGCACGCAAATCTATTTTCTTTAGTCTTCAATACTTTGAAAAAAACTTTTGCTAATCTTCAGATGATTTACTTAAAAAATATCTTCACGGTAAGACGCAAAATGCCACCAGGGTTAAGTGAATAAAATAATCAGATTGAGTGCCACCAAGGCACTCAATCAGATTATTTGTAGACACTGCCCAAATACTTTTATTGGTAGAACGGTCTTAAAGTCTGCAGTTAAATAAGCTGTTGTTGAATTTAACAAACATGTGCTAAATTGATGTGAATGAAATGAAAAAAAGAAACTTTAAAACGCTCCATTCAAAAGTTGACTAACGGTGTCTAAAAGAGAAGGAACTAACTAAGAAGGACTAAAAAAGGTAAATTAGACAAAAATAAAGAAGAAAAAAAAATTAAAATGTGTTCCTGGAGGGACTTGATATGTTTTTTTGGATTTTAAATTATGGCTTTCATTTTACATATTTTTTGTTTTCAGGTAATGAAATTTTGTCTCGAATAGAAATTTTTGAAACATTGGACACGTTTAAGCTTTTAGTCTAATTTTTTTTGTTTTTTTTTTCACATAGATAAAAAGAATCCGTGTGAAAGAAAGATATTCATAATAAAAAAAAGGAAACTTGTTTTTATGAGACTAATGTTGATCATTCATCAACCAATTTTCCGTTTTTGTTCCAAATATTGTAACTTTTTATATACTGTGAATATTGAAATATCTTTCTTTCATCCGTTTTAATAAAACTCAATTAATATACAAACCAGTTTTTCAGCTGGGTATAACAATTAGTTCAATTAATTTGATTGCAAGGTTGTCGCGAAAATAACTATTGTTTTAAATAATTGGAAAATCAACTTTTTTTTTAAGATCATTTTTGTAAATAGTTATAGGACCATATATTTGTTAAAAAAAATTAAATCAATAACCATTTGCAATCAAAGGTTAGCATTGGAGAACCACCTTAAGATCTCTTTAACGCGTTTAAACGTGCTAAACGTGCAAATTTATTACGTTAATAATTGATTCAAAAGTGAAATAATAAACGTGCATAAACGTTCTAGTTTAAACTATTAAATGTTTATACATTATTAACGCATATACCTGTGTTTTACCAGTTTTTTCTTGATTTTATTTTTGTAAATCTTGAACACTATTTAATGTAGAATGACAAGACTTGTTTTTTCTTCATAAACACTTATAGAAATTTAGGAAAGTTCAATATCCGGCATGTCCGGCAAAAATATCCGGTACACCTCTAGTTTTTTAACTTACTTAATAGTTTGATAATTTTTTTCCGTTTTTAACTTAACCAGCCCTACTATGCATCGTTAAGAAAAAAGACGTGAATTAAGAAAGTTTTTAATTATTTTTTAAAACTTCAAAGGCTTTTACAACATAACTTTTTTATAATACTTTTTTCCAGCTAAAGTTATTAAAACTTAAAAATGTCAAAGTTTTATATAAAGAGGGCTTATTAAATTCGTTGATTTTTCAGCATAGTTTTCATCACTTTGGGCTTGTCTTATAATGACAGATTGATGTAAAGAAAAGCTTTTTTTAAATAAACTGTGTCTAGTTTTTATCATATATAAAGTTTTAATGTATACTTTATAAGTATAAAATACATTATTGTTTATAGTTATCTAATGCTTTAAAAGTGTTTAATTTATCTGTACCAATTACGTTATTAATCGCATAATTTGAAAATTTAACAAAACACAGCGCAATTACAGCCATGGAGTCATTTGCAAAGAATACTTTAAACATCATAAAAGCGTTGCATTTATTGTAATTGATATTAGGTGTCGAGATATCTGATAATAAGGTAATAATTATTAAGTTTATTATAATTTTCATTTTTATTTTGAACATTATTTTAACACCTTAAACAAAATCAGATAACGCTTTACGTTAAATTCTATAAGAATTCTATGAGAACGCTTCAGGTTGAATTCTATAAGAATTCTATAAGAACGCTTCAGGTTGAATTCTCTAAAAATTTAAGTAAGTTGTTGTAACTTTTGTTGCTTAGTTTCATTAATGACGTGAATAGATAAAAAAAATATTTGATTTGGAAAGTTTGTTTACAAATATCCTATTTGATAAAACCATCTCAATTGCTGTGGATTTAATCTTAAAAAAAGACCAAACCTTAATACTTCCTAACTTGAATTGAAAAAAATATTTGAATTTTCAATCATGCAAATGCATTTCCTATTTAACAATGAAGTATTTGATCAAATCGATGGAGTTGCCATGGGATCTCCGTTAGCTCCTGCTTTAGCTAACTTATTTATGAGTTATTACGAAAATATTTGGTTACAAAACAATAATTGCAAAAAAGCAGCTTTATACAAAAGGTATGTAAATGATATCTTTTGTATCTTTCAAAATAACGATGAAACACTCACTTTTCTAGAATATATAAATAAACAACATCCAAATCTAAAATTTACGAAAGAAGAAGAAGTTGATTACAAATTGAACTTTCTTGACATAATGATTAACTCTGTAAACAGTAAATTTGATACTTTAACGTTTTATAAAAAAACTTACACAGGTTTACTGAATAATTTTACCAGCTTCACTAATATTAATTATAAACTGGGACTCATTAAAACTTTGATTGACAGGGCCTTTGAAATCAACAACAATTGGGTAAGTTTTTATCTAGATATTGTAAAAATTAAACAAACTCTCCAAAAAAACTCTTTCCCCTTGAACTTAATTGACAAAACCTTAAAAATTTTACTAAACAACCTTACCTCTTTTAAAGAAGACATTTTATCTTTAAAACCATCAGGTATACATTACTTTAAACTCCCTTACATTGGAAAAAATTTCAATTACACTTCAACACCAATTAAGTAAATATATTAAAAAATATTGTAATGATAAAATAAAAGCAAGACTAGTTTTTACTCCTTTTAAAATAAGTAGTATGTTTTCATCAAAAGACTCTTTACCTTCAAGTTTAAAATACTTTGTTGTCTATAAATTTGTTTTTTCCAATGTAATGCTGGGTACATTGGTGAAACTACCAGACACACTACAACAAGGGTTTTAGAACACTTAAACTCAGATAAGGCTTCCCATTTTTACAAACACCTCAATTCATCACAAAAATGCAAACATCCAAGAAATCCTGATTGTTTTTCCATTATTGACAAAGCTTCCTTCCAAGTATGAACTCGAAATTAAGGTAGGGATCCATATTGAGATAAAAAAACCTCTTCTTAATACACTACTAAAATCATACACTATTACTATAACAATATAACTTCTCAATTATCTTTTTTTTTTTCCTACTTTGTTTGTTATTAATTATTTCACACCTTTTATATAACTTTTTCTAAAATTTCATGGTAATTGTATATTTTATGTAACTATGGTAACTATTGTAAGAAACTATTAAAATAAAAAAATGTATAATATCTATTAACGCGTCCTTTATTTCTTGTATACCCGAAATTAACTTTATTATAAATGCTGGCATAATCGTGTTTTTTTTTATTTTTAACAGTTGCAAGGTTTGGGTAGGCATACTTTTAAATAAAAACAAATAGTAATACCCATCCTACAAGCCACGGCTGTTTCACTCTATATAAAAGTGGGCATGACGTCATGAGTTTAGCAAAAAAAAAAGTATTTCCGATTAGCTGACATAGCTACATGCTTAACGGTTGAAATTTAGAGCACTTATTAATGAGTGTCTATTTTATCATATTCTAACGTTACTTGTGTGTATTTGTCAAAAAAAAAAAATTTTAATTGCATTTATATATTTAATTTTATTATTTTTAAATGTAAAATTTAACATTTTTGATCAGTAACATAAGTTATTGAAATTTTAACCTTTTATGCATATGAAAACAAAAAATCTCTTTTCTGTACCTCTAGCTATGTCAGCTATTATCTTTTCAAACTTAGCATGTTTAGCAAAAAATATTTTCAGTTTTCGCGTAAATTTTTATAAACATTAAAAAGCGATGACGTAACCTTAAATGCGTTACGTCCCAAGCAATTATCTTAGCAATTTCAACTGAACTACTGTTTTGGCGAGACAATAAAATAAACAAAGTTTAGCAAAATATTCTTGACTCGTGGAGAATTTTTGCGATTTTTTTATTACGTCTATTGTAGTGCCTGTATTAGTTTGCATTCGGTGTAAATAATGTTAATATGTTTTATAATTGGTCTAACTATGTTTATATTACATATTAGTCAACAGAAATATAATTTTTCTGATTATTTTTGCTAAAAAGTACCTTTAAAATTTCGAAATTCTGCCAAGTTCGTCATTATGCGCGTTTATTTAAAAATCAGAGCAGCCTTGGATTATTATATTAATAATAAAATATAAAACATTTAGTCAGTTTTCATATTCCTTTTACAGAACGTATTTTTCTTTAATATTTCAAAAGTTATGAAAGTTTTAGTAACACCCCCTAAGTAATTATTTTCAAAAAATAACAAGAAGCCGTATGTCCACTCTGAAACAGCCGTGAAGCATCAGTTTGTATTTAAATAAAATGACTTTGCCGTTGTCTACGATAACTTTCTTCACTTCCTGAAATGAATGTCTTATATAAATCTTGAATAATAAAAAAAAAAAAACATTTTATTTTTCTTTGCATAACTAAATTTAACTAACATAAGTCATGATTTACCTATAAGTATCTATTTGTTTGAAATAATATATAGTATTATAAATATCTATTTATAGGTAAATCAACTGTTGGTTGAAAACTAAAATGATAAACTCTTCAAAATGTGGGCAACTACAGTGTTTCCTGTTAATGATGTTTTGAAAAACCAGGTAACTAACTAATTTCCAAAGGATTTTTAAATTCTTTTTATTAAACTCAAAATGTATAGTAAATAATTAAGAGGTAAAGAAATAAAGTATGTATTTAATGTTGCCAAATCTTTTTCTAAAGCTTGACTTTTTTGCGAGTGAAAATCAACGCATGCACAAATATTCAGTTAAAGAAATAAATTTTATGAGGATTTTTTCACATTTAAAGACGCCGTTGCGCAGTGGTAGCGCACTTGCCTCAGAAACAAATAATCCATGGTTCGAATCCTACCTCTGGGCAAATTTTCTGACATCGTTAGGAAGAAGATATTAACTTTCAATCTAATGCTCTTCCGCGGCGCTCTCTGATAAGGGCGTAAAGACTTCTTGGGGCACCTGAAAATAAAAATAAAAAAGAATAAAAATAAAACTAAAACGAGAGACTAAGATAAAAAGTAAAGCCAAATATTTTGTAATAGTTAGAGTAAATTAATTAATAGCGTAAGTTAATTTATTAATTTCTCTACTTATAAAAAAGCTAGGATGATCTTTCTATTTATTGAATGACTTCTTGCCCGACCTAAAGCCCTCAGCCAATACACACACCACTGCGCTTGTTCCTATTTAAGGCAGTAAATATAACCAAACTCCTCTGCTTCTACCCCTATCTAGATCAGTTAACGTATGTACAATTCAATGCTTATATAAATATATCGATGTTTGTTAATCGTCGTAGTTGAGGATAAATACATTGACTGATTTGTATAGGGACTCATACTTAATTATATCGAGACTATATAATTAAGAATGAGTCTCTATATCATTTAAAGGAATCTAAAATGAAAAGTGTTTAAGACGATAAAATTTTTATAGACTTATTATACCAATAGCATAGTAAATCTTTAAAATATTCTGAAGATAATTGCAAACCATTTATTTAAAAGAATAGATACTTGAAAGGATATAAATAAAACTTTTAAGGATGTAAATAATACTTGAAAGAATATAAAAAAGACGTGAAAGGATATAAATAGCACTTCAAAAGATAAAAGTTTCAAAGAATTTAAATAATACTTCAAAACGTATTTAGTGAGCAAAATATTTGTGCAACGCCAATATTTGCTCATAAAGCAACTAGTGAAAAAGTTAAAAACTTTTAATAAAATTATAATTTATAATAATATACAAATACACAAATAACCTAATTACCCGTTAATGTATGAAAATGAAGTGGTCGGCAAATTAATTGTTGCACCACAGATCTACAAAACAAAAGCAACTTCTTTAAAATATCAAGAATTTATAACCCAGCCGGCAAATAACGTTGAAATATCGTTGAAACCTAACGTTGAATTTACGTTAACTTAACGTTTAGAATGAAAGTTTTTTTCAACGTGGATTTATCAATGTTAAATCAACGTTAGGTTCAAACGTTATATCAACGTTGATTCGAAGCGAAAAAACGTTACAATAACATTGAATTTACGTTAATACAACGTTTAAAATGATAGTTTTTTTAACGTTGATTTATCAACGTTAAATTAACGTTAGGTTCAAACATTATATCAACGTTGATTCGACGCGAAAAAACGTTACAACAAGGTTGAATTTACGAAGATACAACGTTTAAAATGATAGTTTTTTTAACATTGATTTATCAAAGTTAAAACGACTGTAAAACACTTTTTCACCATCAAAACCTGCTATGTATGTCAAAATGTATATATGTATGTAAACGTGCTATGTGCGTCAAAATATGATCACCATCAAAACGTACTATGCATGTATATTAGTGTTGCTGTACATTATCAAGGTATATTATGGATATTAAATCTATTCATAGTCTATACTTAGACTACTTAGAACTTTTTCAGTTTAGTTTAGTTTATTTAAAATAGCTTTAGTTTATTTAAAATAGCTAGTTTAGTATAAAATAATTTATTTTTTAAAATAGTTTATTTAATAGCTAGTTTGAAATAACAGTTTAATTTATTTAAAATAGCTAGGTATGATTAAAGAAAGAGATAAAACTTGTTTTATTGAAAAATATATTTAAATATTACATATATTTACATATAATTGAATAAAATCTACACAAATTTCTTCTCCTTTTCACCACCTTTTTGAAATAGAGCGTAATTTAGAAAGTCAAACAGTGTTCGATTTAACCGAGGTTTCTTTTGGTCCATTGAATACATTAAAAGAAGCTGTAAATATAAAAAATATATACAAAAAATCAAAAAGGGAAGATTTGAAAAAAATATAACGAATGGAAAAGTGTAACAACTTATAAAGGTATATCTTTTTCAACGCCATATAGATTAGTGTTCTTAAAACATATATATATATATATATATATATATATATATATATATATATATATATATATATATATATATATATATATATATATATATATATATATATATATATATATATATATATAAATACATATATATATATATATATATATATATATTTATATATATATATATATATATATATATATATATATATATATATATATATATATATATATATATATATATATATATATATATATATATATATATATATATATATATATATATATATATATATATATATATATATATATATATATATATATATATATATATATATAAATACATATATATATATATATATATATATATATACATATATATATATATATATATATATATATATATATATATATAATATATATATATATATATATATATATATATATATATATAACATTTTCTACCTATGCCCTTCATATCCATGGATGCCATATAACTTTTCGAAAATACTCTGAATTTTTAAAAAATTAATAACTTTTTCAAATATTTAATATAAATAAAACAACCTTTTTTCAAAACAAATTAATAATCAAAATATAAAATATTTCTAGCAATAAAAAATAATTTTTGAGGTAGCCAGATAAAATTTTTATAAGAAATAATGTGGCCATTTATTAATGGTTTAATGTCCATGATTATACACTTATAGGGCTTGGACAGGTATCAAATAATGTCATTTTTTATGTTAAATAGCATGCATTTGCTAAAGCAATTTTTTACAATTTCATGCACTTTAAGGCGTTAACCCGTTTTGCAGACCGAGAATGGGTATTTTGAACTTTGTACTTTCATCAAAAGTTAATTAGAGGATAATAGAGGTTTTAGAAGTGGTTTAAAAAAAAAGAGGACTTTAGAGGATTTCAGAGGAGCTGTGGAAACCCTGATTATAAATGAGGTAAGAGTCCAATACTGTTTTTGATTACCTCAGCATAATTTTGTGTATTCTATCTTTAGAAGACCAATTAACCATAATTGATTTATCTGTAAAAAACATGAAGTAAATCTATTATTATGCTTGTGGAGATATATTATATTGTGGAGAACCATCCAAACCACACAAGTGAAAAATTTGCATCCAAGTTTCCACTTGTGTGCAATATATTTTGTTTCAACAAAACAACTCTTCTTACCACATTATTTAAAAAATAATAATTGTAATATATAGATGTAATACCTGAAGAGAATTTAGTTGATTTTTTTTGTATAAACCTAAGCCAATTCTTCTCTGCATTTTAGTGCAGTCAATTTTTTGGTACCTGGAAGCTGACAAACAGTTTTATCACTAATTTAATTAGATGGAATTACTTCTTCTTGTAAATCTTCATTCCAAACAGCTCCTGTCCACAAATTCGATCTTGAAAAAATTACATGAACTAATAATAAAATGAAGAAACCATATTATAAGTGTACTAACAGGCCTAATTAAACTAACTAATTTTTAACATTTTATAACCATGATACTTACTAAACAATAATATTAGTAGACATTATTAGCAAAGATAAGATTTTCTTCATTTTATAAATTTATTATATTTTAAATTCATTTTTATTAATTTATTTATTACTCTATTATTCAGCAGAGTTCTGAATATATTATGTTCAAATAACTTAAGGCTCAATAACAAAGAAAAATAATGAAAGAATCCTAGGTTGCTAAAACATAAACATATACATAAGATAATAACAAAAATTAAAAAAGAAAATATTTTAATAAATAATAAATTATCATTCAAACAATTTTAGAGATCAAAAAATAACTTGTAACTTATTTTTTACTCATCTTCATCCAATAAACATTAATATTAATACCAATTTTAAACATAATTAGAATTTTTTTTTTATTAAAAAATAAAAATATTGCATCAGTTACTTTTTGGGCTTTTCTTATTTTCCTAAAAACAACAACTCAATTCTAGGCTTTTTTCATAATTGAGTTTTAATTTGTAATGTTGAATTAACACTGAAAAAAAAAAATATTAGCAGACAAAAAGAAAAAATTTCTTTATTGAAATATATGTAAAAATATCAATAAAGAAATTTTAGATTGCTTTTTATAAATATAAATTTATACCAATTAATCTAATTTTTTTTTTTTTTTCGCCACCTTTTCGAAATGGAGCATCAATTAGAGTTTCAGTCGCCACATCGTATTTAATAGAAGAAGCTGTTAATAAAAAAGAATTAAACAAAAAAAAAAAAAAAAAAAGGTGAAATTTTTGAATATATAAAAAATGAGAATAAAAAAGTTTTACATATCTTATAAAGGTATACCTTTTACTACACCATATAAATTGGTGCTCTTAAAGCATATTTTCACCTTTCCCCTTCATATTCATGGAGGTCACAAAATTGTTGGAATTTTAATAGATAAGAGAACTGATATTAATTATGCGAGAACTAATATTAATTTTTTTTTTTAATTTAAATTGAACTCATTATCAAACATTTTTTTTGCTAAATAATTTAATTTTCAAAACTCCTGAATAATTAAAAATTTTTTAGATTACCTCAACATTATTTTGTAAACTCTGTCTTTTAAAGATATTCCATCAATTGCAATTGATTCATCTAAAAATAAATATGCAATTGATTCATTTAATAAAAAAAATATATATATCATCATATTTTTTAAATGACTGATAAAAATGGATTTAATTAAAATCACTTCATTTGTATTAAAAAATTAATATTAAAGCCTTAATCATACTTTATACAAGAGTATTTTGCAATACAATCTAAATAGTTGTTGCGATTTGTAATTTCTTTATCCGAAATTTAGCTTCTGTAAGCTTTAGAAATTTTTTAAAGAAATTATTGATGAATTTGGAGCTACGGTACTAATAATTTTATATTGTTGTAATGTTTGTATTTATTCCCAGTTAGTTTCTGTAAGTCAAAATTTTTTAGGTATTTCCATAATAAACTCTGTTATATCTGAAGTTTAGTGTAAATCTGAATAATTTAATTTCTAAAATCTGTTTTGTATTGCCTGTCTTATAACATCTTTACTTGGAACAAAAACCACGTGCTTTAAAAGTGAGCTAGAAGCTTTCAACCATGAAGAAAATATTGCATTCGCTAATCCTAAAAATATATTAAACCTGTCAGCAAGATCACCTGTCAGTAATCCAAGTATTAGCATCATTAAATATTCATCTTTGCTGCATTACATTTATTTTGGTCGAAGTAGTTCAGGATTTTTAAAAATTTCAAAAAACAGAAGTCAATGTTTTTTTAATATCACTTTATCTTCTTTTGATTAATGGTGATACTGCACAAAATGATGAAACAGATTGACAGATGTAATGCCAGTATAAAAGTCGCAAGATCTCTCATTTTTAAAATGAATGTTTGTATACAAGTAAATTGCTATAACACATGTTTGGATTATGTTTATATACAAATTTGCCTGGTTTCATAGTAATAACTGAGGTGGTTGAAGTTAATTTTTCATATAAATCTTTATTTTTTTTATTTTGTGGTGAAGTTCTTTTTTAAAGTTATCAATTTCCTTTTTTAATTCTTGATGTTCTTTTATAAAACAACACTTAACATTAAATTCAACAAAATTTAATGGATCATTTTTTGAAAAAGTTGTATTATTTACATTTAATAATATAAGTCTTTGAGAATTTTTAAACGATAATGCTCTTTCAGGAAAATCGTCTGAACATGTTTTAGATCAATTGAAAATTCTATATGTTATAAGTTCAGTATTTACATTTTTTTCGCTTCAACTTAAACCGTTGAAGTAATGTTTACGTTTTTACTTCCATTTCTGCGCGCGCATAATTTTTATGAAAAGGGGTATTGTATTTTTTGTCAATAATGATTTAACGTTGAAATAACGTTAAACAATCGACGTTCAAACAGTAACGTTGATTTAACGTTGTGACATAGTTGAACAACGCTCAAACAATGCTTCAACCGAATTTCAACGTTGAAACAACGTAATATTCTTTATAATTTAAAAGTCTTATTTATATCCTTCCGGCTGGGAAGGATATAAATAAGACTTTTAAATTAAAAAGAAGTTGCTTTTGATGTGACAAGTAATTCGCAGACTACTTAAATTGCATACATTAATCTTTACAAACAATGTTTTGTTACACACACTTACCACAATGCTTTGAAAAAATATAGCTAAACTGTAGACGACTAATTAGGTTATTTGTGTATTTGTATTAACGCCACAACCTTTTTGCTAATAAATTTGTTACTTATCCTTAAACTTTTCTAAATTATTTATAAAAGTTATTTTATAACTTTTTTTAATTTTTGTTTATAAACATATTATACATTTGTTAACTCAAATTTGAAATATAGACAGCTCAAAAACAAAAAACAAAAACAATGTGAAAAAATGCTGATATTTGCATTACAAATATTTTTTGATTATAAGACAGTCGTCAGCGTTACTTTTCGAAACATCATTAACAAGACGCAGTGTTTTAGCTAGAAGTGAACTTTTTGACAGTATAAATTATTTCAAATAAAATGATGAAAGATTTTAATAAAATGCCTAATGTTTTATAACTTTAGTTAATAACAATAATAAGAATATTGAGATTTTTTTTTTAAAAGAGTTAAAATTAAAAAATGATGTAATAATGCACTTTTTAAACAGATTGGTTACAATGGGGAGAATGGACAACATGCAGTTCATCAATCATTTGTAATGGTGGTATAAAATACCGGCAGCGGAAATGTTCATTTGGTCCGCAAGGTTGCGTTGGTATTGAAAGCGAAAGTAAAGATTGTCCCAAAAAACATTGTGTTGGTAAATTAAATTTATAAAAAATTTATTTATTCTTGGCTAAGTTCAAAAAATCAGAACTTTAGTAAATCAGAACAAAACAAAAAATACACACATACTGAGTACGAAACTGACAAAAAGTACGCACAGACTGATCACGACATTGACAAAAAGTAGGCACACAGTATGAGAATGTCAAAAACGATGGTACTTTCAAAAGTGCACTGGTATCGAATTGAGATTGATGTTTATATAAAAAATCCATAAAACTGCTTTTAATTTTTGGTCAAATTCTTAAAACTGCCGTACCGTAACTGGATTACCGTAATTGGATAACTTTACACCAAAACTCCACATTTTTTTTTACTTTCTGACAATAAGCTTAAATTTTTTTTTAACATTTATAAAGCTTTGCCAAAATTTTTTAGGCTATCTATAGCAAAGCAAAATTTATAAAAGCTTCAAAAATAGTAATTATATTTTAAAAAATTGTCTTGAAAAAATTTAATAAAATAAACTTAAAACCCTTACCCTTTTTTAAAAAAGTTAAAAAACCAATGGTTTTTATGCAATAAAATCTCGAATTTTATAAATACATACATACATAAATACATATATATATATATATATATATATATATATATATATATATATATATATATATATATATATATATATATATATATATATATATATATATATATATATATATATATATATATATATATATATATATAGTATATATATATATATATATATATATATATATATATATATATATATATATATATATATATATATATATATATATATATATATATATATGTATATATATATATATATATATATATATATATATATTATATATATATATATATATATATATATATATATATATATATATATTTGCATGTATATATATATATATATATATTTGTTATCTTCAAGTATGTTAAGTATATATTCCTATTAAAAGTTTATTTATTTTGAGAATATTTTATTAATACGAAATATAAAAACGTAAATTTTTAGCGGTTCTCGACGACAAGACCTTACGGTCTTCTACGAGTTCCCGCGTTCTTTTATTTTTTAATAACAATCATGTATATATATATATATATATATATATATATATATATATATATATATATATATATATATATATATATATATATATATATATATATATATATATATATATATATATATATATATATATATATATATATTTATATATATACACATTGTTAACGAATATTTATTAAATCACAAAGTTGTAAAATTAAAGAATAAAAAAAAAGTATATATATATATATATATATATATATATATATATATATATATATATATATATATATATATATATATATATATATATATATATATATATATATATATATATATATGTATATATAATTATTAGACCAACAGATTAGTCAAAATAACGGAATAATATTTCAACGGGAAAAAGTCCGTTGAAATATCATATTAAGATAGATCACATAAGTATAATGGATATTTCGTTGAAATAAAGGAGTTAATCCTCTAGTGCATCGAATAATACGTAGCTATTTGGTCAAAAAAAGTTTTATTAAAAAAGAGTAATATCAATATATATTGGTGCTCAACATTATAGAAGTAACAATATTTAATACGTATCTGATATAAGGACCACTAATCAGAGGCAATTTTACAGGAAGTGAGGGTGTCCCCCCTCCCCTGAAAGGAGATGATTTTCAAGTTATAGTCGGTTTTTTACGAATTTAGTCGGCAGTCGGCTATTTGAAACAATTGAGTCAATTAAATTTTTGCTTTGAGGTTCTTTTTTTTTTTAAGAAGCTAGTCGATACTTTTAGAGGATTTAACCCCCCCCCCCTCCCACCTTATTTTATTTGTAGAATCGCCTCTGCCACTTATTACACAAACTAAGATAATAATTAGGAGAAGTTTCAAAAATGTTTTAGCTAGACATTGAAAACTAATTAAATATTTATAATACTAAACACTTATTCAATAAGCAAATCTTTGAAATACAATCAAATTAGATTATAAAATATAATTTTAATTCTCATTCAAAATACTCCATTTTTATAAAAGACACATATATATATATATACGTTTATAATAAAGGTTTAAAAATGCTAAGAAATTAAACTTTGGTTTTTAATACTGTTATTCGAATATATGCTCGCTCTTTAATTCCAGCAAACTACTGTTTCGAATTAAATTTAAAGATAAAATAGATAATGAAAATTATATACAATATAATTTGCAACCTAAGTAATATACTTATTAGGAAAATAAAATGAAAACCAAATTTTATTAACAACGCCATACATAATAACATTATTTTACTGTCTTAGACAGTAAAATAATAGACAAAATAATAGACAGTGTCTACCAATATTTGTAGATGAATTTTCCTGACTTTATTCCGTGATCCACTATTTGCTTTCCCTGATCCACTCACTGTTTACCTGATTTAAATTCAAATTACCAAAATTCAGCTTTAAAAATGATAGAATTATTTAGAAAAATGCTCTTGATTAGCAAATATTTAAATTATGTGCACATTTAAAGTATTAAAAGATTTTCATAAACTATTTTCCAAATGAAGTTTTTAAATCATGTTTACAATTTATATCTTTTAAAAGTTTAATTTTTAATGTTAGTTATGCAAGTTTGATTAAAAATCCATTTTCCCTGGTTTTTCTCTAATTTTCCAAAGTTCAACCTTATGATTCCCTGATGTTTTGAATTTCCTGACTTTTATCTGTTTTTCCCGACAAAGCAATGGCAGACTATAAGAAAATTTTTTTGTTAATTTTTTATTAAATAATTTTTAATAGAAACTTTTTTACTGTACTGATTTCTGGTCTTTAAAAGATGGAAATTTTATGTAAAAAATGTAAAAAATATTTTAATAAAAATCAAAATATGAAAAAAAATGTATCAAAAATTACCTTATTAAATTCCATTTTACATTTAATAACTGTCAAGAATTAAAAATACACAAAAAGATCTCTAACTTACAAAACGTAAGGATAAATCAAAACACGATTAAATATATACGTCTCAAGAAATGCAAGTAACAATATAAGTATTTTTGAAAAGTTAATCGTAAAAAAGTTAGGATTTTTATTTTTTAAATTTTAACTAATCAATACAAACATGCAAAACATGTCAAAAAGGAATGCATTTTGCAATACAAAATTTTAAAATTTAATTAACTGTGTAATGCCACAAGTGTAAAGTAATATCAAATTCTAAAATGTGTAATATCACATTCCTTGCATGTTTTATTTATTTTTCAGTCAATATCTGTACACTCTTTGCATGTTCTACCTATTTGCAGAGTTGCTAACAAGTAGCAAGGCCAAAGCCAAGTAGAGTTGCTAAAAGTAGCAAGCCCAAGGCCAAGGACTAACAACTCTGCCTATTTGTCAGTCATTGTATGTACACTCCTTGCATGTTCTACCTATTTCCCAGTTGATGTGAGTCCACTTCTTTTATGTTCTACCTATTCTTCAGTCAATTTATAAAAAGTAAAGGATTAAGGCTATGTTTGTATTATAATATGTATGTATAAAATATTTATATTATAAACAACAATTATATTGATATACCGTTTACTTTATGCGCTGTAAAAAAAAATTCAGGCGGATTTTTTTCTCAGGAAGATTTTTCCGGGGGGATATTTTCCTGCTACTTTATTTAAAAAATTTCAGTTAATAAATCCAAACTAATATTTTTTATAAAAAACGCTAAAAACTATTTATTTCTAGCGTGGCCTGCGGTCAAATGCGCATTTTCTAACAGATGTTTTATTATAATTTCAATAGAATTTAATATGTTTATATAATTTTGGTGGGAAATAAAAAAAACTTTGGTGGGAAATAAAAAAAACTTTGGTGGGAAATAAAAAAAACTCATTTTTGACAAATCGAGATTTATCGAGACAAATCGGATACTAGTATCCGATATTTTAAAAGCCTGTTTACACTGAAATTTTTGTGACTAAAATATTTATTTTCCAATTTTTAAGGCCGATTTTCACACATTGATTTTTTGTTTTGAGATATTAAGTTTTTGCTGACAACGAGTAATAGTTTTTTTGTTTTTTTTAAAGTTGATTAAGGTGCCCCAAGAAGTCCTTATGGATTTATCACAGAGTACCGCGGAAGAATATTTAATGGGAAGTTCACGCCTCCTTCCCAACCGATGTCGCAAAACTTGCCCAGAGGTGGGGTTTGAACCACGGATCTTACGTTTCTGAGGCAAGTGCGCTACCACTGCGCCATGGCTGCCAATAATAATTTATAAACGAAGAAGGCCTTTTTTTAATAAGCTTGGGGTGGGTGAGAAAACTTTCCAAAAATTAAAATACGTTTGCCCACCCCTCCTTTTATTAAGGACTCAAGAGTAAATGTTTTCAAAAAATGGATTCAAGAAAATCTAATTTTGATGAAAAAAAGTCATTTTCATGTTTTATAACACCAATGTTTAATGTTGCTAATGTTCATAATGCGTGTTTTAAAAATAAAATAATTAACGTTTAAAAGAACTTACATACGCTCAAAATAAAGGCGGATCCATAGAAAATGGGGGGTTATAAATGAAGATGATTGCCCCCCAACCTTTTTTTTTTTCAGATTTAATTTTTTTATATATTTTTTTATAAATTTAATATAGCTTTTTGTTTGAAAAATAATAAATAATTTCTATAGGGCGTTAAAAGTTTTGGTAAGTTTTACAAGTTTTTTTTTTAATTTTTTATTTTTTTTTTCAGCTTACAAAGTTAATCGTTTTACAATACAATAAACTATTAAAATTACTTTACAAATATATATATACAAATCGTGATAACAGTGTAAACTAGGTTTCCGAAAGAAGATCACTAAGATCTTATCATCGGAACCTTAAAAAACATTTATAAACAATATAATTTATGAATACCTTGTAAAGTATACGTTACAGTAAAGTAAAATATATATATAGAACTTTTACATTAGCAAATCTTTAAA